TGTACCTTCGCGACTCTGACTCTACAGACATGTACAATCAGTTTACTTGATTGTACTAACCAAGAAAAAAATGTACATGAGCTGGATGTCGCAGACATTAATATCTGTTCTGCGGTTTTTATTTCACGTGGAATAACTCTGAAATTTTTTTTGTTTAACATCAACTGACTTCAGAGGTGCGCAATTACGCGCTCGTGGAGAATTACCGATTTAGCGTTTAAAATCGTAATATAATTGAATTGAAGAGGTAATTTATTCTTCCGCCATTCGAAAGACAGTCCATGAAATGGCGGAAGACATCGGGTAACTCCTCACACATTCTGGAATCCTGTTACAATAATTCAATTTAATTAAAATTTTAATGACATGAATTTCATTTTTTTATAAATATTCGAAATAAAATTAGCATTTATAAACAATTAATACCAATTTTTTTTTGGATTTGTAATAATTCTATAATAATGCAGATTAAATTTTTTATAGAATATTTACTGAAAAATCAATTGAACAATGACCCTAGATAAATGATATTTCAATATCAACGAGTGAATGTCTATTTTTATCACCCGGTTGCATTGACAGATTGAAAATAGACCATTTTCCCGTGCCTTACGAGTCACAATGCATGCGAAAATTCACTCGCGCGGTTTAGCAACATGTATATATGTGCCGAATGTATATGAAAGCATGTCGTCTCCGATGGCAATGGCCTCGTTAATACGTAACGGGGAACATTAGTCACGTAGCTTTGAACCGATGCACACAATATCCACAGATTATCATCCTCCGATGTAATTATCACCACAAGAATTTGTCCCCAATTTTCCAAAAATTTTACCCATCATTTCCAATTATTTTTATTTTATAATAACATTATAAAATAATAATTAATCAATTATGAATGAAATGATTATTTATTTCATTCTTCAATTATTATTTTATATATTTATTTTATTTTTATTTTATGTATTTATTATACTTTTACAAAAAAATCATTGATCAAATATTTTTTTATTGATATATTTTTTTATTTTTTTGCAATTGAAATTTGAGATATATATGTACAGCGTATGTATTAGGGAATCCGAAGGTGATTTTAATTTTTATGTTAATTTATCGTTGAAATTCGGGGAAAATATTTTTTCACTCCAGAATAATTATGCGACACCATCGGTGTATTGATCCGAATTTTCTCAATTTTCAACCCAGAAGATGCCACACTTCCGTCCTCAGGGGTCCTGCCCCCGGTGCCAGCATCTCCAGAAGCCGATGACATAGATTCAAATGCGACACGTCGTTTCTCCGTGACAGATCGTCTGTTGATCGATAGTTTAGATATAGATAAGAATCGGACGAGACACACTGGGCGATTTCTCACGATGCACAAGAGACGACGTAAACGACTCACCACGAGATCCCTTAATCAGGATCCTGGCCTGCTGGATGATATATTTCATGGACAAGTGCAGGTAAAAATTTCCCCCATTCCTTTTACTCCTGCATCATTTATAATCATTAATCCTGCAATTCCCTCAAAATAAAAATAATAATCAATATTAAAAAAAAAATTCCTGATGAAGATGAGACTAATAGCTTATCCCAGATTAATCGATCAATCAACTCCTCACAAAAATTATTAAAAAATTCCCTGAGAGCATTCCTGAAAATGCAATGGCATCTGGGATTGACTGAGCGCCTTGGATATGACAAATTAATTTTCCATTTCACCTGGTCCCAAGTGATCCTGGCAAGCAGCTTCAATCACTCTCGTCTTTGTTAAAATTCATTGTGTGCTTGAATTGAAACTGTTGCAGTGCATTCTGCAGAGGTCTGGCCACTGGCGCTTCAACGCTTTCACCCTGGAGACGGTATCTGGAGGTGAGTGTCCATCCATCCTTTATTTAATCCATCCCATCTCCCAGATCTCTGTTATCGCTTTCAGTGTCTTCATCAATCCGATAAATGCGCACGGATAGATGTGTCGATGTGCTGATGGGAATTTTTTTTTTTCTAGGTCGTTCCTTGCCCGTCATGTGTGTACACCTGTTCCAATGGTACGGCTTACTCCAGCAGTTCAATTTGGACGTTGTCAGGGTGTGGAAGCTATTCGGTAAGTGTTTCAACATTGACATTGTTTTCTAGCCTCATTACCACATTGTTTATGTCTTTTCAATGACGACTTTCATTATTCCTCATGCCAGTCCCATCATCACTTTTTAAATCCTCATGCGTCACACGATTTCGCAATAAATTCATTAAAAAATATCGCCCAAAAAACAATTCCAATCAATAACGTAATGATAAATGTAATTCAATCGATTAAAATTGTGCAATCAAATGATTATTTTGAAATTGATTTTATAAATCGGAAAGTCAAGGAATAAATTTTGAAAAATATATATTTTTTTGGGGGGAAAAATGTCCAGATGAAATTGCAGACATTTTTTTTTATTGCACCGGTATTTACGAGCGTGTGGATGTAAAGTGGTGACAGCAGTGATTTTCTCAATCACTGCGTAATCATAACGATTTTCATGTTAATTATCCGTCATTTCGCATGTGTTTGCAGCCCTTATTGAAGAGGGATATCACAGTACAAATCCTTATCACAACAGCATACACGCCACTGACGTAACACAGGCAATGCACTGTTTTCTCCAAGACGACAAAGTGAGTTTTTACGATACACCATAGCCAGCAGGCAATTAACTCGGGGGGTTTATCTTACTTTTACGACAGATTAAGAAAAATCTCAATGGGCTGGAGATCATGGCCTCGCTGATTGCCGCCGTTACCCACGATCTCGATCATCCTGGGGTTAATCAACCGTTTCTTGTTGCCACTAGTAATCATCTGGCTACTCTGTATGAGGTATAAAATTGGCGAATTATCCGGAATTACTGGAGTCATATTTTTTTTTTTATTTTAGAATACATCGGTATTGGAAAATCATCATTGGAGGTCGGCTATTGCTTGTTTACTCGAGAGTGGAGTTTCCGAGCAGTTGTCACCCGAAATACGACCGGAGCTCCAGCGATACATTAGTTCATTGATTCTAGCTACTGATATCACCAGACAGCAGGAGTTTCTCACGCGTTTCAGAGTAAGTCTTCAGAAAAAGGACCGTATCTCCGAGATTGAATGGAATAGCGCAATTTTCGTTATTGACTTTTTTGTAGAGCTAATCGAGATCTGGAAAAAATGTTTTTACAAAAATTTTGGTATTCGCCATATATTCCGAGATATTACGGGAATTGAGGAGGGAATTTTTGTGATAGTGATAGGATAATTTATGTAATGAACTTTTTTTATTAGACGTACTTAGACACAAGTACCCTGGACATGGAGCGAGCAGAGGACCGTCACTTTATCCTCCAGATATCATTAAAATGCGCCGACATCTCGAACCCCTGTCGTCCTTGGGATATATCCAGGAAGTGGTCGTACAAAGTGTGCGAGGAGTTCTTCAGACAGGGTGACTACGAGCGCCAATTAAATCTACCAGTGACACCCCTGTGTGATCGTTCTTCAATCAGTATCCCTAAGATCCAAGTAGGTTTCTTCGAGTTCGTGGTGACACCCCTGTACGAGGAGTGGAACAGATTCCTGGGTGATGGTTTGAGTATAACACTGATGGGTCATCTGAGGGCGAACAGAAAGCGATGGGAGGGATTGATTGTCCAGGAGACAGGCGACGATACAAAAACTGAAATGTCGGACGTGGAGGAGGTGCAGAATTCCCCGAGCTCCGAAGATGAGATCCTCCAGGAGGACTCAGGGAGCGTTGACCTGCCGATCTCTGATTCCCAGATGAGATCATCGAGAAGATTGAGTCTACCAGTGCAGAGTGATTCCACGAGGATGGGAAGACGTCACTCAGTGCCAATGCACACCCTGGCCCCACCCTCGAGATCAATTCGACGAGACAGCGTTCCCTGGGACCACAGAAAACCACCTCTCGTCAAACTGGATGACCAGAGTCTCCACCCCTTGAGTTCTCTCTCCCTGGTCTCCTCCAAGAGTTCTCTCTTAGAATCAGCAACCAACTCTGGTGAACGTCCCGTCTCAGCTGAGAATCTCCTCCCTGAGACAAGCATTGCCAGTATAACGAGCAGCATTGAGGCCTCACGACTGTGTACCATCCTCCAGCCCGAGGTCCAGAGAACCCAGGGTAAACTGCTGACGAGACAGCAGACATTCCCTCCTCTCCAGCCTTACGTCAGGATCAGATACCTGTCGACAACTGCAGAGATGTCCAAGTGCAGAACTGAGACACTCATGGAGGCAGAGTCACCTCCCTCGTCTACGTCAACGAGCCCCTCCAGGGAGAAATCGGTGGGACGTCGAGAGAGGAAAATAAGCTCCAGGTCTTATACGGTTGATCACAGGAGGCGGGAGTCGGCTTTTGCTGATTTTAATAGATTGAATGTAGAATCAGCGATGACTGGCGAGCAGAGGAGGAGGCACTCGGTCCAGGGGATGAGGGACGAGTCCAGAAGGGCCAAGAGGCCTTCCTCAGCTCAGGAAGATCCTGCATTGATCTATGCCAATCTTACTGGTGGCTCCAGGCAGAGATCCAGTGGAAGTGATTCGAGACCTGTTTCGAGGTCAGATTCCGAGAGGCAGTGGAGCCTCGAGGAGTCCGGGGAGGACCAGGGTACTGGGGATCGTTGTATGCCGTTGGTTGGCGGTGAGAGGGTCAGGGAGGGTGAGATGAGGAGATTCTCCACACCAGTTACTGAAGCTAAATTAACTGGGGAAGTCGGTGGCAGGAGATTTACTACTATTCCTGTTACCTCAGATCTTCCGGTTCACAAGGTGTTTTTCATTGGCAGTCCACCGGAATCACCACCCAGGGTCAAGAGTGTGTCATCGAGCAGTGATAGTGGCAGTGAACCCAGGAGGAGCATTGGTGATGCTGCTGAGGGATCGCATTTTGCTGGGGGCAAGAGGGACTCTGAGGGTGGCCGTCACAAGGGTGGGAAGATGATGAAGATGAGTGATGATGGCAGGATGAAGGAGAATGTCGATCCCAGGAGCGAGGACAAGTGCCCCGCTGTCAGGCGCACTTCACAGGTGAGAGGATGTCGATATTTTCGATATTTTCCTGGAAATTTCGGTGAACGTGCAAATATTATTATTTTTGGGTGCAGTAAAATTCATTAATTGAATCAATTGAATGATAATTGTAGGGATGGGCGAGACGAAGAGGCTCAGCACCAGTCGGGCTCATGTCCAGGCTCGATGACGTGTCAATGACGGTTGCCACTAGAATCGACACGAATGCTCGAAGGGGATCAGTTCCTGCCGACATCACAGACCACCAGAGTGAGTATTAAAAAATATAAATCCCCAGTCTTCCTCCTGCCATTGTTCATTTTATTTTGTTATTTATTATTTCTCATTTTCTGTAGCACTCACGTCGGGGGGGTCATTTAGATCAGCCCTGGGGCCGAAAAAAGATAATTTACCAGTGATCAGACGATCGAGTCTTCCACACGAGGCTGCGTTGCGCAGTATTTTAGGTTTTCAATTGACTGGTAATTTCCTCAATTATGACAATTCCAATTAATTATCACTCCTATAATTTCCTGTTTAAAAATTTCGCTGAATTCCAATGATATCTCAACATTTAATGATTTAATAATGAAAATTCAGCAATTTTTTTTGACATAGCGGAAAATAATTCCAAATATTCCCTTTTTTTTTCTGCCATCCAGATGATAGAGAGAACTTTCCAGTTAACAACAACAACAACAATCACGGTAGCAACAATAATGCCCCAACAATTGGTATGCCATCACCACGACGTGGCTCAGTACCAGCTGACATATCAGAATTACGTCGCGATTTATTCGGGAGAAACAGTGTCAATGGAAAAACTCGTAATCGTAAAAAAACACTGAAGAGACGTAGCAGCGGTGGTCCAGAGATGTTCGCTGGTTGTACAGATGACAACGAGAATGGAAAATGGAGTGGCTGGAAGAGGGAACTATCCAAGAGGGACTCAATACCAGAGCCAAGTGTCAAACGACGTGGCTCACTGCCCGTTGAGATGGTTTCCATATCACATGCCGGTCGGTACAATTTTAGATAGGACTGAATATCACTTCTTTTTTATTTCTACGTGTGAAAATCCATGATTTTATTCACTCTTATAATTCCCCGGAGTCTTCCAAAATTTTTGACTGAGCATACGTTTGAATTAGTTTATTTACTCTGGGAGTCGATCGAATTAAATCATTCAGAAATGATTTTACGTTTGTATCCTGTTTATTTTCTTTCGATGTGCCCCTTGATGAGAATTTCAATGGTGAGAGGATATTCTGTATGACAGGCGTTGGTGGAACGAGAAGATCGAGTCTCTGGAGACTCTAGCAACAATCGACAACACCTGGGATATCTTCAAGCATCAGCAAGTAATGACACTTCTATTGATTGTTTATAATTATTTTTGTTTACCTGAATGGGATGTGGAGGTGAAGTACACAGGAGTTTGTCGTGTCCTTGAGCCGTATGACAGTAAAATGAAGAATAAAATATAAGGCACCACTCGATTTGTCTTCCCAACAGGCAGGCACACGCGCCAAATTAATTTGTGCCACAAAAAATTATCAATTCGGCTCAAGTGTTATTTCAAAAATAAAAGCGCGGGGTAGTTCATTTGAATTATATACAACACAGGGTTAACAATTGACGATTTTATTAATTAAAAATGATGCCTAGGTACGGAGAAGGAGAAAAGACTGGTAGAGAAAAAAAAAATCGTGGCTGTAGAAGCTAGACGTTTAACGAGCGTAGATTGAAATTTGAATTTATAAAAATTGAAGGACATTTGCTCATATCTAAAAACACGTAATTACTGGGATAAATAGCTGGAGGAGTTGAAAAAAAAGGAGTGATAATTACACTGAGATGAAGAGGAACAATTTTTGGATGACCAATTGCCGATTACATTGAATTATGGATTTACCACTTGGCAGAATCACTTGAGACCATTTTTTTTTTATAAAAAAAAAATAGACAGGTGGAAATGTTCTCTTCACTCAGTGTTACGACGAAGAAACTTGAAAATGAATAATGCAGGTTACATTCCAACTCTGTACAGAACAAAAGGGAATTAATTCCTAGAACAATAACCGAAAAAACTCGAGTGTAACTCAATGAAGTCATTACCATCGCATGTAATCTCATACCCATCGTTGTTACGCAATAATCGAGAGGATAATCCAAAAATTAACGATCAATATCCGATCGTGAACTAGAACGAGAAAATATGACACAATAATATTCGAGTAGTTAGTCATTGAACGTTAGATCGTAAATACCATAAATCAGCGCGATTACCCTCGAACCCATCCCTCAGTAAATATTAATCGCGATGTATTAATTGTATTCGTAATTATTGGTAACCGGTTGAATAAACTGGATTAATGTAAACTCAAGTGAAGAATCAAAAGTTAAGATCGAGTTATTTATCGTAACGCTCATTAATGGAATTTATAATTAAGATCGTTTACCTCGTGTGCTCTCATTATCCTTCCTTCGAATATATCTCAATATGAATCCCCAGAATACTTAAGATATCACGTTAACGAGATATTTATCAATTTCCAGTTGTTGGAAATAGTCTGAGGTCTCGAGGACAATTTTTTCCATTCATCCAGTCACTGAATTGGAAATTGCATTTGAAAAAATGATGAAAAAAAAATCAATAAATGATTTTTAAAATCTAGAAAACCCCAATAAATTGTTTCCGAAGGAGATTTCAATTTTTAAACAGTGGCATAAACAATCATCTTGGTAGTTTCAATAAATTTCACGAAAACGAATAGTTTGTGGCTAATAATTAAGATGAGAATTTAGATCTTGAAGTATAACAGACGTAGCGCGCGGATAATCTGTGTCGAAATAGATTAGACTCTTCATCTTCGTGATCTGATTTCATTCCCGCATGACGATAAATTGTCCTGAGATCACGTGAATAATCCTTGCATGCGGGCTCATCGTGTTTTATCAGAAAGTACTAGGTGTACATCCTTCCTCACTCGGTGGTGAGCCTCTCATTAATGTAAATAATCATCGATTAATGGACGATACATCAGTCATACCTTCGGGCTCCCCACCAGAGTCTAGATTAATTAAAACTAATGAAAAAAGACCACTGTGCACCAATTTCTCTATGAAATACGTGAAACAAATGACTTATAGAAGGGACCTATTCTACCTTTTATTGCACTTAAAGGAATATTTCCGTTAAAATCATATTCGAGACGCGCGTGTCCTGGGGCGTGTCAGGGATTTCCAGGGCAAAATCATGTCTTCAGAGTCAATTGAAATTATTTTCATTTTTAATTACAATTGTATCGAGATGGAAACGGGGGAATCGTGGGGCGTCTTCAATCCCCAATAACTCGTAAACCGCAGAGTGAAATTCAATGATTTTTCATGTCACAGCTTCAGAAATCAGGACTTTGAAATGAAAAAAAAATCATTCGATTTCACCCAGTGGTTTACGAGTTATTGATGATTGAAGAGAATCCACTTTATTCCACTCTCTCTTAAATGAATAATTAATATTTCATGAGTTAATTTTTATTAATTGTTTTTTAAATGGCAATTTGTAGAGGAGATCGTCAAGACTTTTTGATATGTGAAATTATTAAATTGTTTATTGATATTCAGGGATTATTTCGATAATTTTTGCCCTGAATTTCCCTGCGCCCTGACCTCTTCAATGAAATGCGAAAAGCCATCGCTGTTTTCTATAAAATGAATATTGAAAAAAAAATATAATGAAACCGAGGTAAGCCATCTAATGACGGTAAACAATTAATAATCATTGTACGTGTGTGTGTGTTAATTACCCTCTCCCCGAAAATAATGAAAAACCCGAAACATTTGAGATTTTAATAATGGGATAGAGCGTGACGCAGTGAAAGTATATTACAACATTTTAATGAAAAACAACTTAATATAGGACTTGTGCTTGGTTACTGGAACGCTCAAGATTATTATAATGGTAATTCTGAGAGTTACCGTCAATGTTTATTTCCCCACAGCGTTTATTATTCGGTGTGATGATTAAAAATAATGTTAACGTGGTGTTACGCCCAAATGGCTCTCTATCGAATGCACTGTACAAATGCATTGCAGACTCTCGAAAAAAAATGAAAAAAAAAAAAAACCTTGGCTGGTCCACAGGTGAATTACTGGGTAAGGAAATTACTAATCCTGACGCTACAATTGTAAACTTTTTTTTATTCTCCTGCAGATGAACTCTCAATTCTGAAAAATCACTGAATTCGCGGGTCTATCGGATTTGAATTTTTTAAATAAATATTCTAGAGTTGGAAAAAAATTCTGACCATTCAAGATTAAATTAATCCGAGATTTCAGTGTGTGATTATTTTTTTTTTAAGGAAATTATTTGTCAGTCAGTATTTGGAGTTTTGAAAAATGCAGGTTTATTTCAGAAATTTTGGAAATTTGAGAATGAATTTTGTGACAGTCTAGGGTTGTCGAAATGTGATGGAGGGAATACAATGTTTTTTTTATTTAATTGTTTGGTGATAAATTAGAATGCGAGGAAATGAATTGACAGGGACAGAGGACTGAATATTTTTCCCAATGGGAGAATTATTGGAACTGAAATGGTTTATTCAAATTGCGATTGCTTGAGTTGATAATGATTTTAATCGGCTCTCACCGATATTTAGTATTGGAAATGTCAATTAAAAAAAAAACCATGAGATTAAATTACGAACAATGACCTGTTACTGAGTCAAACGATTAGGGAAGTAAATCATTGTGTATTTTCTATAATGTTGATAGCGTCTGCGTTAGGTGCAATGATTGAAAAACAATGTGTTCTTATCATTCATAATTAATTGTAATGTAATTAACAAACCAAAATACAAGACGAAAGTGCGAAGTCAAAACGAAAATTCACGTAATGTATTAACAATGGCCTATTGTATTCGAAAATTAGGGGAAATCATGGAAAAAAAAACGTACAAGTTATGGATTAGAGCCCGAGATTGTATTTTTTAATTTTTAATTCATTAAGTCTTATTTATTTCGTCTATTCGAGAGTGAATTTACTCACTACGATATTATGTTTAATACGTGAAGATAAACATGTAAACCCGTTGTCTTTTATTAAAGGAAAATGAGAAAAAAAGACGAGTACGTCCTGTGCCCTTCGAAAAAATATTTCCCATCGCTTTCCAAAAAAAATTCCTTCACAAAATTTTTTATTCCACCAGCTTACCCGATTTTTCGCCGAATATCTCCATAATTATAATAAATATTGAAAAATGCATAATGACCTTTCCCGTAGCTCTTAATGAGCTGCACAAAAAAGGTCCCAACGAAGATCCGGTTATTCCCTCTGGTTTCCGAGATATTCATCAAAAACTGACAATAGCGATGCGCACTTTGTATTTCCCCGCTTTTTTCTCAGTGCTGCCACACATGCGCTGTCACTCCCCGCGTTTTCCGCCATATTGCGTCATATTGCGCACTGGGGCGCACGAATTGTCGCAGTGTTCTTCGAAAAATCCGAAGACGAAAAAACAATTAAAAAGAGAGAGAATCGATCAGCTGACGTGAATCATCAGAATGACATGATTGCAGTCGTCATTCAACGCAAGAGTGTCTGATCCCAGTGTCGCTGTGTTTTTTATTCCCTTTGCCAATTTTTTGACATACGCGGCCACTCGACAGATCAAAATGGCGTGAGTGACCGAAAAATAATAATAAAAATCAAGTGCCCTCCCCTCAATCTCCCCTACTACCCCACCGCACATCCGCACGACAGTACCTTCCCGCCCAAATTGTTGATCCAGTGATTTTTGAGGTTAGGTGACCAGCCAGTGCAAAATTTTTCAACCTTGAACCGCAATTTATCAACGTATACACCTGAATTATGTGACATTGGTGTTCGGCGAATTGTCAGTCAGAGGAATAATTTTAATAAAATTATGTGGACGTAATGCCCGCAGGCGGTAACAGTCGTTTCCGTGGTTACCCAGCGCGGATGTCCGAGCGACAACAGCTTGCACTTCTGCTGCAGATGACATCCCAGGAAATTGTACCCTCAGGTAACAACAATGACAGCTTGTGGGAAGGGTTTATTGAATTTTCTATTTTCAATATCTGCACCTCCTGGAGGATCTATTTCTCAACCCCTTGGAGGTGTCCTGCTACCTCCTGGGGGTTGGCTTTTTTCAGCTGGATTTCCCATGGTAGTTTTCACCCTCTATTTTTTTGTTTCGGTTTTTGGGGTTCACTGGGGTCTTTCTCGCCTTCCTCAGGAAAATCTCCGTTGACGTTAACCTGGAGATTTTTGGGATAAACGAGACGTTTTTTTGGGGAATGCTGGAGAACCTTTTTTGGAGTTGAGAAAATTCTGGAGGAATTATTTCATATGAAATTTTGGTGTAGAACCCCTCGTTATTGAGATATTTCATTATTTAGAGGGAGAGAAAATCGTATCTTCTGTTTATCAATTTTTTAAATCATCGAATTGCATTCGGGGGAACTCTATTTTCAGGTGGAACTCGTCCAGATAATCTAGCAAATCAATCGAGCTCTCGATCATCGTCCCTGAGTCATCACCGGGGTTCGAAGAGCCGATGGTCTACTAAAAATGGCGAATCCCCGACTTATCGCAAGGATGAGTACCGAGGACGATCGATGATCTTCAGTGGATACGACCAAATCGATAAGGACCCTAATGGTGAGTGAAATTGTCCTCTGCCTCAAAATTAATACAAACCAAAAAAAAAAAAATTATTCCCCCGAGACATCTCGTGCCTCACGAAGACGAGGGGAAACTTTTCTCCCAGTAGATCAATATTCGGGCAGGGCACGTGTAACTCCAACAATAAATTAACGAAAGGTGAATTTAATTTCAACTTTCACTATCGAATTAATTAACGAGAGAAGTAACCGGATAAACAATTTTCACGAATGGCGAATTTTCCGGTTGAAAGCTATGAAATTTTCATCTCCTTTTTTTTATATGGAGTACGGAAAAAACGAGAAATTAAAAATTCTATTTTAGGAATTCCTCGTGGAATCTAAATTTGAATTTCGTGCATTTTTTATGAAATTTCATCCCTCATGGATTTTTTGAGAGCAACGACCGACACTCGAGCTCCCACTCATGACTCTATCCTCTTCAAGAGTATTTCCTCGATTCGTCGCTTGAAATAAAAAGAGAAATCTATAAATAAAAATGTATTCCCTCTCCCCACCCCCAATCGATTCAGGGGTAGAAAAATAAAAATCTGGCATTTCAATCTGAATTGATAGGATCTAAATAAATTCAAGTCAAGAATCGACTCAATTAATTAAACAAAAATTAGAATTTATTTCACCAGCTCAGCTGTTTATTTGATTTTGAAAAACATTTGGGGTTGATTAATCTCCGAATTTGATGATCTGGTGCTGATGATCCAGGTCGACACGGGGATGATGGGGAGAGCCCCAGGAAAATCACAATTGGCTGAAATTCCCTGGAGAAGGGGTGGATGGGCAGGGGGGGGATTGAAACATCACTAGGTGGAATCCACAACATGGCCACCAGTACTCGGGCGACTGTGCCCAGCTCCACGTCGCTTCTTCATTTTTTTATAAAAAAAATAAAATAAAGAAACAAATGGTTTAAATAACCCTGAGCATCCACCAGATGTCGTCCTGAACACCCGCAACCCTCGCCGCGACGGTATCGGGGGTCGGGATTTTTTCATCCACTTGTCATTCCAAAGAAAAAAATATTGACAACCGAGTCATTAAAAATCCCATCAATTTTTGAGTGTTCAATTCGCGAGGGAGCAAACAGATTTTTTTTTATCTCCAGTCACCGGGGCGAATTATTATCTAGACTTTGAAATATGCGGTACCAATGCCAGCCGTAGATTTCGAAATTTGTCGGGAGTTTTTTTTGCGATTTGTGGTGAAAATGGTGGCTGATGTGGGAGAGATTTTTGAGGCGTAAGATTGGGTGAGGATAAGGGTGGAATAAAATTTTATTGTTTTAGGTTGGGTAGGGTATTTCATGTATTATTTTTTTTTTTTTTGGTTTGAATGGGTAGAAGGCACTGGGGATAATCCCACGGAGACGTCTCCTGACAGGCCAGAGTCACCGTCATCCGACACCGGCACCAGTGCACCTCCCGTACAGGACCAGCAAGATCTCCAGAATTACCAACATAGTAAAGTTTATCAGTATCAACGGCCGACCGGAAGTACCACCGTCGGCACACACCAGGACGCTGAGGACAGTGGAGACCTCTGTGAAATGCGTAGAACACCCCCGCAGAATAAAGGTCAGTGAAATTTGAATGGGAAATTACATTTTTTACAACTATAAATTTTTATTACAATTACAAATTTTTATTGCAACTACAAATGTCACTACAACGTCAAGGATTAAACCCCATTATCTCCTCACCGCGTTGTCTCCGAGGAAAATGTTATAAGACTTTTTTAAAGATCTCCGAATTTCCAAGAAAAAATTCTTCTCGTATTTTCCTCACCCACCGCTACGTAACGAGATAATTACACTTCAATTAAAATCCTAAAATCGAATCCTTAATTCATGAATTCACGATTTTCCACGAATTTCAACTGTATCTCGAGAATAAACAATCATATCGAAAAACTTTCGATACATTTTTTATAGCCGATGACATTTCCGACATAAAATTCCTCAGGCATTTTCCGCTGCAAACAACCCCAGTCTTGCAAATTTCACTTGAAACAAAACCCAAAAATGGAGTTCCGACCCACGACGATTAATCCCTCACCCCAATTCAGCCTCTACCTCGAGAACAAAAGGCCTTGTGGAAAAATGTCATTGACCTCTTTTATAGGTGATAAAAGGACGGACATAAAAGTCCTTTAACGTTTTTCCCAGAAGGTCCTCGGTAACGAGATAAACAGTGCAGGTCATTCCGGTTCTCCGAATTGCATTCGCATGGGAGGGAGGGAAGGGCAGTATTCCAGGTATGCAATGGATGTAACTGTAATAAGACAGAGATAATCAGGCGAAAGTGTGTAAAAGTAATGGGGGAAGTACCTCGGGGCAAGAGAGAAACTAAATGTTCGAGTACAAGTCAAACAGGCCGATCAGATGGTGGGGGTAAACGTCGTGGAGGATGAGAATTGTTTCATTCTGTATATCCACAGTCGTTCAAGTGCCCTGGTTTGTGTCCCACTCCCTCAGAATTAATTCCACCAAACATATTCACGCATTCTTATCGCCAACTCCACTGATCCAGTGCTACGTGTTTTAATATCGTTGAGAGGTATCGTAAATCCATCCAGTGATTATTCCAAAAATCATTCATTAAATTCTATTCACTCGTCCCATTGAGCTCCACATTAATTCACCAACTTCCGGTTCTATTTGTTTTACGATTATCATGGTATGGAGTTTTTATTTATTTATGGTAAATTTCGAGTGAAACTTCTTGGAATAACTGCAACGTTGCTTTTGTGGCCTTCTCTATCTACCGGGTGATCATAAAATACACAACCACGCACACGTTATAAATATTTAATGTACAAAGGAGAAAATTAAATGAGGAAATGGAGATGATAAATGCGTAGGAGATGAGGATTATTTTGATTTTTTTTTTCTTCGGGGGGAATGGATTTTTTTTTTATCTTTTAGATGATGTGGAGTGAGTCATTAGCTCGTGATGAATTAAAATTAGATTGAATTATGTCACCTATTATTACAATGCCCCAAACCCACGGGCTATTTAGTATTCATGAGGTGATGAATGTGAGATTCGGGGGCGACGAAAAGGAAATCGAGAAGCCAAGTGGTAAATTGGGATAAATCGAGTTTAACTGTTTTGTTAAATACCACTTGAACTCGAGAACCGATGGTTTCAGGAAAAAATCGCAAGAGATATTTTTCGTCAGGAATTTAATCAGCTGAAAAAAAGTTCCCTCGATTTTTTATCTAAAATGGATAGTTTTCAAGATAAATAATTAAATAGATCACTAAAAAGTGTAAAATTTGCAACTGGCGGTTGTATTTTTTTTAATTATCACTCATTAATTGTTTAATAATAATGAATAATTGATTTTTGCAGTGGACAGATCGGGAAGCGGAACCGGAAGTTCACCTCGAGTGACCCTGCGTCTGAATCAGGTCCGTGGAGCGAGGGATGATAAGAAATCAGGCAGTGGCTCAAGACAGAGCATGAGTGGTACGAATCAGGTACAGATGGATACAGCCAAGTCGACACCCTCGACGGTTCCAGGATCGTCAACAACTACGACGACGACCAGTGGCTCATCGACCCCATCTAATGCAGCACCAGGTGCTGGTGCACCAGCAATCGACAACAGCGATGTTTACGAGTTCAAGAGCTCGAAGGAGGCGACACCAGTGAGAGGCTCGAGCTCATCGCCAAATCCCCCAGACAAAGAGAAAGAGATCTCGAAGACGAGTCAGACGACTGAGGCACAGACGACCTCCAGTGAGAGCACACCAGCCGCATCTGGAGGTACTGGCGCTGGTGATAATTCAGGTGGTGCATCTCCCACGGCTAAACGATCTTACGAGGGTAATGAGGACGAGCAGGACGAGGAGAACAAGAGGAAGAAGAGGAAAGAGTCAGAGGGTAGTAAAGATGCCAAAGGACCTGCTGCTGGGAGGGCCAGCACTGGCCGAACTGCTGGAGGCAACGACAAGGTATTTCCCAGAGTTTTCATTGTGTTGTGAATGTCCCTCTTTTTTTTTCTTTCAATATTCAAGATTCAAGATATTGCGAGAAGTTAAATCAATTTAGGAGTCATCGAATTTCTCGTCATAATTATTTTTGCAGAGAAAATCATGAGCTTGAAAAGATTTATTACAATTATTTAAACATTTCTCTCAGTTCCGAGGATATTTGTAGAAAATTATTTTCTTCTCATCGATAAATTGGAATTCCTCTTCTCACCAGCCCCTTCCCTCCCCTGTCAGCATCCACCTGCATGTAATTACTGTTGTTTCTAGTCAGACAAGGTCGCCTCAGTCGTAACTGCATCATCTATTGTTGAACAGTGCCCAAAGACCGGTAAACAGAGTGGTGGCCCCTCGGGGAAGCCCCAGCAGTCGTCATCGACGGCATCGGATCGTAAGAGTCCGAGTTCAGTGTCAGCGAGCAGTCCAAAGCCCCAGGGCACCCCAGCTCCTGAATCCGATAGCGAGGAGGACCGCCCCAAGAGTTCTGACTCGTCATCGGCCCCGAAAGTTCCACCCCTGAAGATCGTTATACCCCAGACAACGGAGCAAGAGCAAATAAGAAATGGAAAGAATCAACCGAGGGGTCACCAATTGCCATACGTTGTGGCGAGCTCCAACTCCAATGATTCAATCGACAAAGACCAGACGCAGTCGACATCTGGAACGACAAGCCCCACCGAGTCCAAACCAGAGGAGAAGAAGGATTTCTCAGGTGTCATTCACAACGAGGAGAGATCCACTCACCACCAGAGAGTCCTCAGGAGCTCCCACAGGGGCAACGGCTCCAATGGCTCCTCCAAGGACTCGAATCAATCAGCGAATGGCAGTTATTCAAATTCATCGCCACTTCCAGCAGCTGATAGATCTAATAACTCATCGCCACAGCCACCAGCCACTGAAGGGCCCTCGGAGCCAGCAAAAGCCACCTCGGGGGAGCCAGTCGCCTCGAATACCCCGAAAGCCACTGAGAAGTCAGAGAAGAGCGAGGGGAATACCAAGAAGGAGAGTGACAACTCTGAGAACTCATCCTCGTCTTCCAGTGCAAATCCAACGGTTTCTACTGCTCCACCGGTGGAGCTTCACCCCAGGAAACGCAAAATGAAACCCAAGGAGGCGCAGGTTGTGGCGCAGGCTAGTGAAGCCAGTGAAGCCAAGAGCACTGGCACTGAAGTTCATCCTCACGATCAGCCAATTACCAATTGTTATCAGCTGTTTTTGAATATCAGGAAGCAGATAGAGAGGAGGAGAAAGGGACTATTTCCTGTTCAACCAAAGCCACCGCAGGGCTTCAAGGATTATCTTATGAACAGGTGCACTTATGTGCTGGCTGGAAATGCCAATAAGGAGCCCAATGTCAATCCTCCGGGGAGTCTTCAGGGGAGCATGAAGGATTTGTACGTTGAGCAGGAGAAGGAGAGGTACAGGCTCAGGATGCAGCACGTCGTGGAGAAGGAGAAACTCGTGCTGTCTGTCGAGCAGGAAATCCTCAGGGTGCATGGAAGGGCTGCCAGGGCACTTGCCAATCAAATTTTACCCTTTTCCGTTTGCACAATTTTGAAGGACGAGGAGGTTTACAATGTCATTACACCTGAGCAGGAGGAGAAGGACAGGTATCAGAGGAGCAGGTACAATGGGAGATTGTTCTTGAGTTGGCTCCAGGATGTCGATGACAAGTGGGAGAAAATCAAGGAGGCTATGCTACTCAGGCATCATAATGAGGCCGAGTCTCTTCATGCTGTTCAGAGAATGGACTGGGAGTGGAAGCTCAAGGAGGTGGGACTGTGTGAGTTCAAGGCAACACCGCAGATTGATGATCTTCATGTACCCATTGTTCATGTGTCTGATGACTTTGATTTACTACCTGCATAAATTTATCTTCTTGGATTCAGGTGAAGTGGAAAAATGTGGAGAGTTGGTTTTAATAGTTTCATTTTCATGGACTTCTTTCTGCTCTAAAAAAAAATCCTCAGTAAAATTTCGGCATGTCTCAGAATTAACTTTTTTGGAGGCGATGAAATTCTTGATAAAAAGTCTCTTCGTATTTCCTTGTAATATTGAATGGATAATTCATTTTACCACTTCGACACTGAATTCGTTCTGTGATCTCTTCTTTTTGACAACCTCTAAGAACAATATGAATCGACTAGTTGTAAATATTTTGTAATTAGACATAGGAAAGAGAGAATGAGAATAAAGAGTTTCGAATAAAAATTGGCAGTTCGACGTCACTACGTATTTATTTAATTTTTCTTTGGCTTGTCAGAGGGTACGAACTGAGAATTCGAAGATTCTAATTGAAAGTCCATGGGCTTGTCGTACCCCAGGATTCTGCTGTAATGATCGATATCAGTGAAGTCCGCGAAATCGAAAAAAACAGGAACCTCATTAACGTAACACGTCGTTATCATCTCCCGCATTCCAGGTTTTCTGACATCGTCGGGTGTAAATTCGACCTGAAAATTTTCCAAAATTCACAAACAAAAAATGAATTTTTCCCTGAGATCTCACCTGTCTTTCCTTCACAAAAATCGTGTAGATCGTGGCGATATAAACATCCCTCTTGGAATCGTAATTAATTTTCGTCACATATCTATTGGTGATCAGGTGAAGCAAGACAGGAGTTCCTAAAGCGAAAAAACTGCTCGTGCAGACGAATCCAAAAACAGCCATTAAGCTGTCAGTAGCCAGGATCTTTGGCAGAAGATAAGGCTGCACCAGGAAGCCCATCAGCGAGGTGCTCAAAGAAAAAATCTTGATGTACTTGATCCTCTTGGAGAGCCTCCCCTCATAGATTGTTTTCAGGTGTGAGTCTGTGCTCTGGAGTCTGAGCTGTGACACTGCAGGTAAACCCTTTAAATCACCAATTATCGTCAATTCACATCCCCTGGAGACTTCCACCTGATATTACCTGTGCCTTGACGTGATTCACCACGATATTCGACGTTACCCGGGACATCCTCGACATCGGCATCACCAGGGTGCAGGTTTTGGCGAAAATCCTCGCCCTCGAGAGCAGTGACATCTCCCACTGGATTTTTTTTCGCAATTGGAGAAAATATTTCCTTTTATTGTAATTGTTCTTCACACTGCAATAATAACACGACCTGACTTAATTTTAATTTGAGGTTCAGTTCAGGGAAATTTTTCAGTCGATAAAGTTGATTTTTTAACTTCAGTGCAATTTTTTCACAACGTGTGGCGCTAGGGAAGTCTTTTCGGGTAATTAATTACAGTTCAAAATTTATTGTTGTGTTGTTTCGAAATGTTGAATAATGAAGTGATGATTAATAATTAATTTCTTGATGACAAGTGAAAAAAATGATGTGATTCTGTCCTCAAGTCGTACGTGAATTCAATAATCTTTACTAATTATCGATTCAACCATCAATTTCTCGGGAAAACCGCAAAGGACTTTTTTATAGTTCTTCCGATCTCTGAGAAAATCGCTCTTTTGATATTTCCTCGTAAAATCGATGGCTTTCGAGATCTATTCGCATTTCGTGACATAAAAATTGAAATCATTTAATTCGTTGGATTTTTTTCTTTCAGATTCGATTGATCTTTCCTCCAGGGGTGAGTGAGTAATCGCGACAATCAATTTATTGAATATTTAAATGAGTTCATAACAATTAATTAATTTAATCCTCGAATATTTTTTAAATAATCGAGTGAAGGGGATTTTTTGGGAGAAATTCACGAGTGAAATAATTCCTTCTTGTGTCTTGACTTACGCCATTTTACCCCTTTGGATTTTTATTCTCAGAATATTCTGCATGAAGTCCCTAATTCCCTGATATCGAGAGGTATTCGATCTGAATAAAATAACGTCGGGTTGGATTTTTTATCTGGCCTCTATCCCTTTAATAGAGCCTCTGTTATCTCAGTAAATATTATTTTTATGCCATCGCCCCCGATTTGCGAATATATCTGAATATCAATGAGCCCTTCGACCGAGTAAGGACTGAGGATGGACCGAAGAACCTAGACCTGATTGACTGAGATTAGGTCAGGTCTTCAAGACCTCAAACTTTCTCAAAATTCCACAGCCACAACTAAAATCCTTCCACTAAAAAAAATATATCTCATCTACATTTCTCTGAGGATTATTTAAAATATTTTTGAAAGATATTTTGAAAGATATTTTGTGGGAATTCAAATTTATTTAAATTGATTATTTTTATAAATTTTTATATAAATTCTGAGAGTTTCAAGGATTAGATGGTAAACGATGAAAAGATTTGGATGAATGATTTGGCAAGAGTTAAACGTTTAAACCCGGGGAAAATCCCAGGAAGAGACTCGGTATTTTCCTGGTGAATTTCTCGTGCTTGATTCGGTCTTTTCACCGTCAAGGAGCGTATGAGCCGTTTTCTTTCATACTGCCCTCAAAGGATGTCCAAATGTTTGGATACATATCCACATAATGCCCGGCGGGCACGTACATAAACGTTTGCGCAGGTGATATTTACGCGAGATTTGTCCTCTAAAGAATCGTTGAAAAAAGTAAATAAATAAATGACGAAGACAGCCGGCTTTGTCTCGGACAATTTTTTATCCTATTTTTAATGAATAATTGCCAAGTGTAAGTACAACTGGTGTAAATTCTTTTTACCAATTTCTCCCTTTGCATTCACCGGCGTGGAAAATGCCTCAGAGGGCAAAATTAACGAATCGAAAAAGACGAATAACGAGCTGAAACTTGTAAGGGTAACCATTTGTGTCAAAAGGTTTTTACTCACTCCTCAGTGTGAGTGAGTTATTGTTATTTACCTTTTGATTATCCCCTGTACTTTATTCCCTAGTCACAAAGTGCTGCGAATAATGTACACTGGGTTTATTCGTCTGATGACTGGGAGGAAATTGAAATAATTAATGTAACAGATTCACAATTACCGCCATTTCACCCGACATCCGTCAAAAAATTCCATTTCCCCCAAATATCGCGGTAATTATTTGAAATTAATCAATCACTCCATCAAATCGGTATAAAACTCGATAAATAATCCATAAAATTTATTATCATAATTCCTAATTGATAATTCATCAATTCATCAAATCGTTAATTCATTATACCAATTAATTAATTAGTAATTTGAGAGAAAATGGGGGAAAAAAAATTGTGGGGGAAAAATTTGTCGGTTCGATTGTCGGAGTGATTTTTTTTTTAGGGAGAATTCATTGCGGTCAATTGACAGTTGTGGAATTAAATGCTGTGACGTTTACATCAGTAGTCAAATCAAATATGGGGCTATTAACTGGATCAACATTGTTCCCGGGGGTGGTTTGACTACTTGTTCTAGGACAAAAGGCGAGTGGCTCGCGCCAATTTCACCCCAATCTCCAGCATCACCTCATCCACTTGAACCGACCCTGAAAAAATGCCCATCCTCTTGGGCTTATTATCTTTCTCACGTGAAACAGATGCATCTCTGTGTCAATAATTCAGCCATTGAAATCCATTCGGACCCCGGAGTATTGGTTTAGGGCCAGTAGTGCATATAGATTCAACGGAAACATGAGAAACGATCGGTTGAAAAATTCGGGGAAAATTGCGCCAATCGGGGGTGGAAATATGAAAATTCCGATGAGTCATTATTTCATACCAGCACCAAGGGATGATTCACTATTTTTAACATGAAAAATCATTCTCCCTTTTTTCATTTTTCCTCAAATTTATTTATTACTCAAGTAGTAAATACAGTATATATATTATATAATATTTTATAATAAAAAAATTTCAGTGAATTCTCTGCTGTATTCGCCATCCATTAGGGCATATTATTCCGGTGGAGCGGACATACGCCTCGAAATGAGTACCACCTAGTGAGAACAATGAGGATGTCCCACGCGACATTGAGCGGGAGTCAAAGTGATGATATGGGCTTGCCTGGTGGTACATAAGACATTATGTGGAAGGGATATACCGGAGAGAAGAGCAAATAGGGATGATGCGATGAGGCGGTGAGGCGAAGTACTCTCATCACGCGGCATCTGGCTGAGTCGCCACGGGGGTAACACCAACAAGGACAGGAGATCCTCATCTCCTCGTCTCCTTGTCTGCCAACTGTACTCGAATCAAGCCCAAAGGGCTCGTATTACGTCGCGTAGCCCTGGCCCTTGGGTAAATACCGCACTGCTGTAATCTAGAGTTAATGGTCCTTTCATGGATACTCTCCTCCCCTTTCCTTCCCTTTCCTCCCCTTTACTCCCCTTTCCTCCCCTTTCTTCCCCTTTACTCCCCTTGACTCCCCTTTACTCCCCTTTCTTCCCCTTTCTTCCCCTTTCCATCCATTCCTGTCCTGATTTTTTATACCCCCCTGAAATGTGAGACTACGTTAATAATGTGAATTGGTGCAAGTGTGCGTTATCTTGAATAGCTGGATTACGAGAGGATCTTGAGGAGCTTCTGGGGTTTTGATGACGTTGGGCTTGCAGCCCAGGTCTTCAGCTTGAGGATAACTCTGTGATGGTTTGACGTGTTCCAGGACGTGAACTTCAGGGTGCATCCACTGGTGTGGTCATCCCAGTAGACTTTCCACATTCCAAAATCTATAAATTGAAAATTTTCAGGATGAAGATGTGACAGCTGGTATCTCCAGTACAATCTCCAGTGTCTCGGTGGATGGGGCCTGGATTGTCGTGATTTATCATCACCCAGCTGAGCTCCTCGGTCATCTTCACGTCTCCATGAGTTCTCCATACCTCTGGAACATCATCGTTATCTCTGACGGCTGCAGAACTGTCCAGAACTGTCCCGCTCATAATTTCTTCACCTGATAGTACCAGGACTTCCACGTTTTTTCGTCCTAGTAAAATAATCAAAATTCATTTTAAATTCGTAGGTGAGGTTTCACTCGAGTTAATTTGACTTATATGATAAACACGAGTGGATATGGCATATTATCTCAACACCGTTGAAACCATCAAAAGGCCATTGTCATTGAAACTAGACGCACCCTCTCAGAAAGTTGAATTATATTGCATACCGCCGGAGGTAACTGCCACTGACAACGCAATTAATGTCATATCCTCGACAACACCGGCTTCAACTGCGGTCGCACGTCGGCCCTTTGTTAACGCCCGTTATCGCACAACCAACCGACTCTCAATAATTTTCAACCCTCGGTTTCTTCCTCACACCCAAAATGTCCATCGGCATCGGATAATTGGCACTGGATGCTGTCGTCATCCTCAACGAGATTATTCTCTCGTTTCTCTTTTATTTTTTTTCATCAACCAGATCAACAGCCAATTACCTTGATTATCATCACGAGATTCAGTTATTTTTTTTGATTAAAGCACCGATGGGGCTGCAATATAATCAGTCACCGATGCTTTTTGCCGATTGCAACACCTGGGGGAGGAAGGAATCAAAGGGAAAATCGTCGATTGCGCTCAGCCGAGTGTAAAACACTTTAACCTTTTGGAGATGAGACTTCAGGCTCTGTGTCAATATACCGAGTGATGTTACAGGGTGTTACTAGGTCCCCTACCCCATCCCCCACCCCATCCCCCACATTTTCATTTTACATCTAATTAAATCAGTCAAATTTACTATTTTAATATCAATTTCCTCTCCCATCTCTCACTCAACTCGAAATCGAATATGATAAAATATTATTCCCGTGGATTCTCTACATTCTCCTGAATCTCTACAATTTATATCTCAATAAATTTATCAACTAACATTAATAACAATAATTTTTTACGAAAATTTGGTACTTGACAACTGCTGAGGCGTCGCCCAGACCAACAGGCGAGAAGCAAAAAAGGGGGTGGTGGGGTGAAAAGGGGAGGTTGAATGGAGAGAGGGGTGATGGGGAAGAGGGGGATCTATTGGTGATGCCAGGTGGTACATACAGAAAACGTTTTAAAGCCTCAAATTCTCCGGCTTACATCGGTATTGCCCCCCCACTTTCGTCACCCAATGGCAAATCCAACGTTTTGCAGTGACAGCTCCTGCGGCCGTTTTCTCATGTCCGTGGCCCTCGATTGGTCGACTCCAGGGTGAATAGTGGGCGTGGCCCTGTTCCAACAACCCCCGTCACTCAATCTCCCTCTCACCAACCCCTAGTCGGTAGAATTCTATCCACGGTTGTGATTCAATTTCTCCCAACCATCGCGAATCTATCTGTCCCACTCACCCACCCGACGATTTTCATTTCACCTGGTGGGCGACTCCGTCGACGGTAAAATAGTTGAAATACACATGGAAGGGATGAACCGTATCCGTGTCTAGCTTTGGATAATCGGTTCGCTTTGCTGATCTATCCCTTTGCATCCCCCGAGACTCACCATTATCGTACCTATTTATTAATATAATAATTTATTTATTATTCAATTCAATGACTATTTGAATAAATTATTTTTATAGACTCTTGGGCTCTCGTGGTATTCTTTCGGGAATCATTACGTAAATAAAAAATCCTGGTAATCCTAACATAATACTGACGCGGCGAGAAAAGGCTCGGGAAGGAAAAAATGGGAGAAAAAAGAAAACAGAATGTTAAAATCATCCGACAATGGGTTCTGGGCGTGGGGATTTTACGCGTCGTGGTGCATTATCGAATCCTGGGATCGAGTGAGATGGATTACGAGATGTTGAGGTAGGACCCACCCAGGAGCAAATGTTGGATAATACTTTGAGAAATGCCTTGGGAAAATTAAATAACTGATTTTAATCGCTCGATTTCATTCATCGGCTTTTTATCTCCATTCATTTCTCATGTTAACAATTATTTTCTACCATTTATTATTATTTAATCAATTAACCAATTAATTTTCAAATTTCCAAAATTTTCAACTCGAAAATGAAAGAATGGATAAAAGAATTTTATTAATCGATATTTATAATGATTTATGAAAAATATATTCTGATATATTTTTTTTGTAATCCCCGAGTAAAAAGTGGTGAATAAAAATTGGACGTAATATTACCGGTAATTATTTCCCAATATTTTCGTAATTTATAATTGAAATTTTCTGTTAAAAATCGGTAATCGCACGGGAATTGGTTAATTTCCCGTGAATATTTGTCGTGGGTGGTACATCGAGGGTTGACGATGGGTATCACAGAATGGCTTGAGGGTTGTGCAGCTGACGGCTCAATTATCTCGAGGGTGATGTTACACGCCCGACAAAAATCGTTTGCTCTTTTAATAACACCCACTGCAGGGAGAGTCCTCTCCTCACATTTAGCCCATTGTCCCGAGCTATTAGCACTTTGACTCCTGTCATATCACCCGACGATATCCCCGGTGGAGCCCCACCCGGTATAAAAATATTTTCAACCCCATAAAGAATTTTTTTTTTTGATTATCTTTTCTCTAGCGCGAGTGATATATCTTTCTCTTCTCTCATTTGATAAAGAGGAATACCGAAGGAGTCCACCAGCAGCTGAGTATAATTTCTTCAATGCTCTAATGGAAATGAAATCCCTTAGGACAAAGTATAAGGGGTGGTAGGTATAGGATAAACGAGGGCCGAAAGCGTTAAGCTGTGCCTCCAGGGCCCGGTGAGTGTTTATACCTGTGGTACACCCTGGTCTCTCACTTTCACAGCCATTTCATTTGATTACCACCTGGAGACTGTTGAGATACTCTTTATCCCCCCATCGTCTTGTCTGCACCATTATTATTAATCAAGATATTTATCATTACGTAGATTCACGGGAAAATTCAAACAAAATCGTGAATTCGTCCTGAGCGGTTTAATGACGTCACAACTCCGCAATGCGCGGGCATCCAGACGTCAGGAGTGAAGTTGCACGTGAAAAAACCCGAGGCTTAAGGTAAATAATGAAAATTTATACAGAATGCTTTCAATTACCCTTTGGCTTCTCTCGATTACAACCACTCGAATTTTCCATTAAAGGTTTACCTGGTGTTTCAACCGATCGACGAGATAGGAAAGGCTTTTCACCCAATAATGCAACAGCGGATGACCAACGGGTCTTATGGTGAGGGCCTCTCTGTGATTTAACCTTCGGAATATGCATTTTCAGTTAACGCTGGGAAATCGTGGGTTTCGCCCATCGCCCATGGCTATATCCCCCGGAATCAGTTGCCAGATTATTCTATTACCGCGTATCAACATTGGGGTTTGTTTGGTTTCAAAACAGCACTGGGGTACGCTCGACGCGCGTGCCAGGGCCAATTGTTTCAGCTATGCCCTGGCACAGATAAAGAATTTAACGTCGGGTAATTAAAAGGCTGGCGGGCTTCTAACGCTGATCAAAATATTATCTCAAACTCTTTTTCAAACGTTTCATTTATCGTCATCATTCCGGTATAATCCCTCATTAATTATTCTATATTGTCTCAATACGCAGCGACAAATACAACAACAATAATTATTGCAAAACGCTATTTTCTTTTTTATTTACAATCCTGGGAATTGACAAATTAAATTGAGAAAATTATCAAAAAATTTTTGGTTTTAAAAATATATTATTTTATTTAAATTTAAAATCAGTCATAAGTACAGGATGTAGTGATAGGATATCACCAGTCGGTGATATTTTTTTAATTATGGGATTGGATTGAAATTTCTGGGGTTTTAGAGATTATAAAATTTTTCGGGGGATGATAATTTTTCAAATTTCTTTTATAAAAATATTTTTGGTATTGATGATGGGGCTCAATTGATAAAGAGAAAATAGAGATTGAAAAGGAAAAATTACGCATCGGGTTAATGGGAATTTGGGGGACTGGGGGGTGGCAGGGGGTGGCAGCGTGAATTCACCTCGCGGCCCACTCGAAACAATAATAATCGGTGCACGGGGGTTCCATCCCCGTGACGCTCAACGAACCGGTAATTAAAATAAAATTAATTGGATTGTTCTGGGGTGCGCGCGTGCACCCATGTACCCCTTCGGCTATTTTCGAGGATGTGTGTCATGGTACGTGTATTACCGCCAATACTCACTGCATGACGTGCAACTGATACGAGATGGTTGTTTTTTTTTTTCGATGAAATAAAAATTAATTTTCTCGATCAATTAATGAAACCCCGCATTTTCAAGGGAATAATTACATTTTTTCAATCACCCCGCGTGCACTTCGTCGCTGGAAAAATTATTTAGTCCAGTCGAATAAATAATTTGTCAATTGCTATTTGCGCTCTCGATTGATTGAAGTAATTTCGAGTTTTTTTTTGGGGGGTTGAACGTTTTTTTACCCGCGGCTTTTGGAAATTGCTTTTTTGGAGGAGTCGGACATTTTTACGGGAATAATTTAATTTATATTTAATAATTGCCCGTGAAATTTTTCTGGTGAAAAATTCGAGTGATTATATCGTTATTTTTCATGGATAATTCCGGTAAAATTACGGAATGCGTTATTTCTGTTGGATATTTATTTTCGTGGGTAATCAATGGAGAAATCGTGCATTTCCATGGCGTAAAAGTGTTATTGGAGGCCGCAGAATCTCGTAATTTTATAAACACCCAGTAAAATCTAGCGTCACAGTAAAGGTTTCATCGAGATTGCCTTTCTGAGGTGTACGGCTTCGTCTGCGTTGTCGGGAAAATAATTACAAAATCAGGGACTACCCCCCGCAGTCTTTCTCCACGCATTGAAACCCACCCCTCCACCCACCCACCCATCCACCCCCACATCACCCACATTTATGATTTATAATTGCGGCTAAATCACCGCACGTTCAGATGTTCAAATTTTTTTTTCATTCCACATCTCCATTAGTTAACCCAAAAAATTCGTCGTGCCAGTCCTAGAAATGAGTGATAAAAGAGAAAAAATTCGGGACTGGAAGGGGAAAAGGGGGCAGATGGGGGAGAAAAGGGGGGTGAATCCGTACAGACGTGAAAAATGGCGGTGCGACGAGGAGGATCCCCTCTGGAGGGTCTACATGAAGTCGTAAGAATTGAAATTCAATAACATTCAGAGCGATATGATGCACGAAATGAATTCAGATATCTGGAGAGAGAGAGAAAACTTGAAAGGGACGACAAGTTCGATCATCGTCAGGCGAGTGAGCTTGCCAGGTTATCCGAAATCGTCAATGGGGATGTAACATCGTCTCACTGCTTTACGCTCGATACTTTCAATCTCAGTGAGCGAACACGACTGCCTGACCGTCTCAATTCCACCGAGAAAATCAGGATCTGGCGGAACATGAAAGCGGATACCCGAGTATTTATTCATCAATTCTCCCCGGAGAAGATTTCAATATCACAAAGCCAATTAAAAAAATAATAAATAAACAGAGCGAACTCATCCCGGTGGATAACGTCCCACTGAATTTATTTATTGTTATATTTCTGTTTTTATTTTTTATCATTTATTTGATGTTTTTAAAGACTGACGAGGAAGACGTGCCGGAGGCAGGGAGAGTCGAGAAAAAATTGTGGCCCTGTGTGTCCCGAGACTTCCACGAGGATCAGAAGCTCCTGGGGTTCCTGGAGAGGCGGAAATTGTTGGGGCTGTTGCCCTGTCAGGAGGGCTTTCCTGATGGCCCTGACGAGCTGGAGAATTTTGGAAATTTCAAGGAGCTGGGTCACGCGAGGATACCGGTGACCTGTCCTCGGGATGAAAAGTTGTTGGTGGTGGAGCGAGCCTCTGGGGAACGACCTGGTCTTGTTGATGGTGATTATATAATCGCTGAGGTGGGATCGGACCCTGAGGAGCCTCGAATCTACACACAAGTGTGCTTGAGGGGAACGAAGGGGATGCATCTGATTGAGTTGAGTGGGGTGAGAGCGAAAGAGAAGACCTGGAAGTTCTGCTTCTATCAGGCAATCGTTGCTCTCCTGGCGAAGACCCAGTTGAGGTCAGTGAACGATGAATTATTCAATTCACTGAGAAATTCTAATTCTGGAGGATAATGTGTCTTCTAGGTACAAATACGCGACGAGCTCGAACGTCGATTACATCTACGATCACGCGTGGATGATGTACATTCACACGGGTAGTCTCAACGTCACGAAGAAACTCCACCTGGACGATATCGTTGTTTACAATTACAAGTACTCGGGTGAGATCACCCTGGAGGATCAACTCAGTGTGCCCAATGTTTCAGGCGTCTGGACATTTCTGGAGCCATCAGTGAAAAAGATAAAGCTCCAGAGGCGTGGGGAACTCATGAAGATGACGGAAGAGCTCGGCTGGGAGAAGATCAATCACGATAATCCAGGCCCTGTCCACAGAGATACCGCATCAATTGAGAAATTCCTCGGGAGTATACCAGACTGCTGTCACAATTTCATCCTGAGAACCTGGAGATTTTGCCTGGCAATGTGGAAAGATGGTAATTTCTGGTATCTTTACAACCCCTATCGCTGCGATCCTCTCGGCTACTGGGATGACCACGGCAGTGCATGCATAATGAAGTTCACCTCGAGGAACACGTTAAACCGTCACACTGTTATCCTCCTGCTGCGTGCCTGCGCTTGCAAGCCCAACCCTATCAAAGCCCCTGAAGCTCCCGAAGATCCCCTCCTAATCCAGCTATTCAAGATAACGTACACCTGCGCCAAAATTCACAATCTCAAATTGCTGGAGCGCACCCCACCAAAATCGAGAGGCAAAAAATCATGGAAGGACGAGAATGTCAAGCCACTCCCTGAAAATCATCCTAGCCCTGTCGAGAAGTCGAGCTGGCTCAAGACCCAGCACATCATCTGGACAAAGTGCACAAAGGATGTAAAAAAAATAAAGTGGCACGAGTACAACGTTGACGAGCCACACAGGGTATTCTCCCTTTGGGGTGAAATACATCCGACGGAGGACATATTTTCACGGAAAAATCGTGGAAATCAGGTTTACGCTTGTTACGCTGTTGCTGCTGGTATGACTCGTATAATGGCACCGGAATATTGGACTCCGAAGACGCTCGATGCAATAGTCATGTGTGGAGACAGATATTACACGTTGAGTAGACATCAAAGTGATGGAGATACGTCAAAGGGTGAATTTGTTGCTGACTCGAGAATGCGCTTGTTACGTCACTTCAAGATCGGTGATATTCTCTTCGAGATTGACATTACGAAGGGCATGACGGGTCGTCTCTACACCGAGGAGTCACTCTGGAAAATTCTCGAGCAATTTTTCCTCAATCATTCATTCGTCATAATCACCTGCGAGAATTCGTGTCTTGGAGTATTCAAATTGTCGGGTGCCTATTTTATGATGGATGTTGATTCCGTTGGACCACCTGTTTTCACCCTTGGCGATGGGGTGGGGTATGTCGTCAGGGTGACGTCGTACAGGCGATTGATCGTCAGTCTGATCGTCACTATTGGAACGATTGAGTGCAGCGTCTTTTGTATTCGTCCTGTTGAGGTCCTGAAGATCCTTGATGTCGGCCCCTGATTCACCACAAGTGCACAACAAACAAAACTGATGTAGGTTTTCACGTCGGAGATGATGTCATTCGGTACCACTGGAAGTTATTCATACGGGAATCAATGAGAAGCCTCTGGACTCCACTATCGTCAGGTGCATCAATCGGTTGAGGAATGACAACAGCACTTCCGGGAGTACAATGTAATGTTTCAATTTAAAATTACTCGAGAATTGAAACTCTTATCAAGTTGGTTAGAAGAACTCGTGTAAAGGAACGAGTGGAGACCCGTGCAAATAGCCAGAGCAAATGTGGAAACAAAAGGGGAAAAATTTCATTATAATTTTATAAATATGTGGACTGCGGTTTCAAGAAAGGCTGCCGTTTTTTCTTCCATTTTCTTTCATTGAAAATTGAAAAAATTCATGAATCCTGAGTAAATACAATGGGCCATTATTTCCATCAGGAAACATATTATATATTTTCCATCCTCGGAAAATCTGGAAAATTTGTCACTTGATTAGTCTTCAATGAGAGCAACTCCTTTCCCATTACATCTGTACTTCAGTGAAAAAAATTGCGATCTAATCGGGTAATTTAAATAAAAAAATATATTCGCTGCAGTTACAATTAATTGCGGCTTTTTGATTATTCACAAAGGACGAAAGTGGTTAACTAGCTTTTCAAACTGGGCCCTTCACGCTCGGCCAACGCCACTGACTTTGGTCACCTGAATAATTGAGTCCCTCGTGAATTTCTTGGACGAAAATAAAGCCATCTGAGAGAGAGCACACGGGGATAGAAGGCACAACCACTTAAGTCGAGCGTCTTTAGGTCTCAACCGCTCTTGTACGACTCTCCTTCAACCAACGGGGGACCATTAAACTTGCACCGGGAATCGTCTTAGTTTCGGTACACCCCGAGGGTTTATGTACTTACCCCTGGAAACTCGGCTAACTTTACGGTGCGGCGAACTTCCACCCAAAACCCCCGCGTCCTTGTGTCCGTAATTGCCAACCCCTAGGCGAGGGGGTGGGAACAGGGGGTGGCCTGCTATTCTAACTATTTTTTTATTCATCCACTATCTCGTCCACTGTCTCGACAATTTGCTGAGGACCTCTTCAAATATTTTCGGAAAAAGAAAAGCAAAAAAGCACTCAATTCTGATTACACTGAATTTTTATAGAAATTTTTTTTAATTCAATGATTATCCCGTCTCAGGAGTCTTCGGAGAATTTATTAATAAAAATATTTATAATTTTTATAAAATATTTATGAGGGATATATTTTATATATTTTGAATTTTTTTTCGCGGGAAATCCCAGGAATTTCAAGTTGCGTTGTAAATTTGAGATTTTTCATTTGAATTTTGCACAATAATTTATTTCGTATTTATACACATTTATCAAGCATATGTACAGGTATGGTATTTACAAATTAAGGGCGTATGTACATGTTTTAGTTTAGAGGCTATTTTGATTTTTGTTTAGGGTTATCGTATTTTATTATAATGATAAAGTCGTTTTAGTGACGTTTTAGTTGTTATAAAAGGATTCACTGGGGTGAGGATAGCGGGATTTGGTGGTGAGCTACGCGACCTCCAGGTCTGAGCTGTCGGTGTCCGGGTCGTGCTGTCCATTGAGGGTGAGATGACCACGGGGTAGAGATGACAGGCCATCCTCTGTCCGCTGTCTTTGCTCCAGCTGTAATTTGCGCAAGCGCTCCTGCTCCTCTCGCTTCTGCTTGCGCCATTTTGCCCTGCGGTTCTTGAACCAAACCTGCAACAAAATGGCCGCCGTTACCTCAATGGTAATCCCGAGATAAAGGGATTACACAATCTCTAAATTGTTCGATAACACTATTAAATTTTATTACCGAGGGACAAGTGTTTTTCTCCGGGACAAATTACCCCTCGGTTAATAAATTTTTTTTTTCCTCTCGTTTTTACTTTTATTTGAATTTCTCTTCGAGACCGGTGTGTTTGGGGAGCCTCCCTCACGCGTGTAAATCAAATATCTCAGGTTTTTCCACCGTATATTTTCCTTCTTCGGAGGGAAATACGAGAGCTCAAGTTCTCGTACTAATTCTCAGCAAATAAAAACCATAGCTGCAGGTGTACACCATTTCCAGGTATATGTTGTCTCAATCTCGACGATGACGAGAAATTTTCAGGCCGCATGGGTGGTCTGTCACACGAATATTTACTCTAACATTTTACGTGAATTAAGGGGATAGAAAATGTTACTTTAACCAAAAAAAAGTATAAACAACAATTCCCCATCGAATAGCAAAAGTACATCGTCAGAGATAAAAAATGTGGAACAATAATTTTCGAGGCAATACGAATCAAAAAGAACTACAAATCATTTTTTCAACCCGAAAATTTCATTTTTTTTATACTTCGAGTTATTGATTTTAATATGAAAAACGAGAGAGATGGTAAAATATTCGTGATACTCTGAACGAATACGTGTGTATATTTAAATCCTCTCGTCTTGGGGGTGGTTCGCCCTTTTCGCGAATCATTGGAGCGCAGTGAAATGAGAATCGCACACCCATCGAGTTAAGCCACAACCGAGGAAAGCGACAACAATGCGAGTGAATATATTCTAGAAAAATATTCGTATAAAGAGAACGAGAAAAAAAAACGAAATTTTCATTTAAAAAAAAAATTCACCCGGTGAATTTCAAGTGAAATGACTCACCGCAGATTAAAATGCGAACGGGGAATAGTCAGATGTGCAATATAATTTAAATAATTAAAACACAAGTGCAGAGGAATTACTGGGAATTAAATAAATTATCTCCGGAGCTTTTAATCTAGTGCGCAATCGGGTTAATATCGACCTCCATTATTAATTCGTCAATCCGGAAAATTCTTCGTTTCGGTAATCGGTTTTTTAATTAATCCCCAGGTAATTCCGTTACTCTGAATTATTTCATTAAAATCTCCTCTCAACTTAGTTGATTGTTTAATTTTGTTATTAATAATGCAATTCCTTTGAATATTCTCCAATAAAAAAAAAACCAAATGAAAGAGAATATTTCCTATTTCGTTGAAACAATTATCTCGCTGGAATTAAAATAACCGAGGGTTAGTCCCCCCATCTGAAGCCTCAAGTTTTCACAGATAAATTGTCCGTGACGTGATGTTTGTCTATCACCGAAACCCGATAGTTGTCCGAAGGGTTCGAGATGAAAAAAGCAATTTGTCAGTTGAAACTTGTCCATTAGGGTGTGGTTCAAGGTCACCAGTTTACCGATGAATTATTTATTCAAGGGTGACAACTCAATCGACGATTCCCCCATACCGGAAAGATTGGAAATAATTTTTATTCTATTTACCTCGATCCTTTCCTCCTTGAGGTCAACCTGGAGTGCAAGCTGTTCACGCAACAGGACATCCGGGTAGTGTGTTTTATCGAATGTCGCCTCCAGCTGCTCCAACTGCTCCTCCGTGAATATTGTTCTGTGTCTTCGCTTTCGTTTTGTCATTGGGCCGATTCCTGGGCCATTGGCACTCATTTGATAAGGGTGTGTTGTGTGATAAAATGCTGGTTGTCCATGGAGGGATACACCCGCTGCTGCCATCGCAGCTACATACCCTCCGGAGTAGAGACCAGGGTATGCAGCAGCTGAAGGTTCAAAAATATTTTTCAAATCCGCCAGATCGATCATTTTAATTAAAAAAAAGAAATAATAATAATTTACACACTCGAAGAAATCCGCAGGACATCAAATCATTTTTTACAATCATCTTTTTTTTTATATTATCCATTAAATATTGATGGAATAATTTAATGTAGTTTTGATTTCTAATGGATTATGTTAATTACTGTTATTATTTGTTTATGACTTGAATTTTTACTCGGGGGTAATGATGATTTGCAGAAAGCTTTCAGGCGCCCCAGAAAATCCTAAAACTCTCATCTGCGTACCCCAGAGACGCTGATAAATCCGTTCACAATAATTCCCAAAAAATCCATCACATTTTCATACTCTCCCCGTCTCCGGGATGTACCAAGTGCGAGTAAAAAATGCCGAGTTTACGCTTCTCAGGGTTTGAAAAGATATTTCGCCGCGACGTGTCCCAGGGGATTTTTTTTTCTCCGCGGATGGACTCGAACGGATTTAACTAAGAAGGCGACCCATGAAAAACGCGTTATTAAAAGAAAAAAAAATATATCTGATATACGCGATATATTGTATAAAGAAATTATATCAATATTAATACATAATATATTTTTATATGCGCGGTATATAATAGAATATATCGCAATATATTGGAGTATGTGGAAAAATTCGAAATGAAAAATTATTTTGAATTATATCTGGATATATTAATATTGATATATTGATGCATGGATGATCATACCCAAAAAATCGGCTGGTGTAAAGGCAAGATGATGCAGTTGCTGCTGAAGTGGGTGAATAGCGGGTGTTCTCGGTGGTGAGCCGACGGTCTCCGGACACCCCTGGAGAATAGATAATCCACTGGTGCTTGTTGCTGGGGTACCACTGACACTACCTGTCGGTCTCGGAGCTAAAATACTGTCAATAGTGAAGAGAGACGCCGGCGATGACATCGATGCGGAATTACCAGCTTTACCAATTTGCTCTCGACGATGTCTCGTACCATCAGGACTCCCCGGACTGCGCGTTATCTCCTTACCCGATAATTCCGCTCTCAATTTTTGTTGAATACTCTCTGGTGAGTAATTGTAAAGATACCGATGATGATGGCCGTGATGATGATGATGATTTGATGACAATGACGGGGTATCGTGGAGAGGACTCGACGGCTCCGTCATTGGGGAATGAGATCTTGGTGAATCACCGGCGTATGTACTCTCCACCATGTTAATTATCATCAATCACTGGCACTCGTATTTTTTTCATTCAATAATATTTAATCCGCGGATGATTCAATTTTTTTTTTTATTAACACACCCGATTTAACTCTCCCCCTCCCGGATTAATCACTCGATGTTATTTTTTTATTTTAATCAACGGAATATTGTGGAATCATTGAAATCACTATTATTCACAGCACGATGGATTTTATTGGACGGCAAAAAAAATATAGGTATTATATAATTGAAAAAATATATCAGTCATCGGGATAACTCGGAGGTTTCGCACGATTAGTGTCCAGTGTGGAGGAGAGAATGACTCGATGATATACGATGGTTTCTTGTTTCTCGAGAGTGACAGGATTTCACGGCGTGATTCCCCCTACCCCTGGATTTTCATCTACCCTCGCTATTCAATTGTACACAGGGGAGAAACAACCCCCCCATCACCACTGGGAAATTCCGGGGATGCGACTGGACGATAGGCGGGGCTTTATCCTAATTCTTTTTTTTTAGCCACGCCCATCACCATGACACCCTCTCTCGGGGGCTTTGGTACGTGCGGGATATAACGGTGAGAAGGATGCTGAGACTGGGAATCCGGTCGAGGATTCGTGATCTTCTCAGAATTCAATATTTTTTTTTACCCACTATTTTCGGGAAGTTATTATTCATTGCGTTCTGCAAAATCGATATAATTATTATGATATATCACAGATGAGAATTATGTATTGACTTTTTTTTTCATCGATATCTCGATATAATCTGATATATCATATAATACGATATCGATATACACGGAAATAAATATAGAATCAAATATAATAAAATCTATAATACCATATATTTATTATTTCAGGATATATCAACACCGGAGGATATATAATATATCCGATTACACATCATCCCTTTATTAAAATGACTTAAAGTATTCGATAACGAGTTTTTTTAAATTCTTTCTGCCCGAAATTTTTTTCTCTCCACTCTCCCGTGATAATCGATAAGAATTATTATTCAAATGCCCATCTCCTGGTAATGCCCATTAATACGAAAATTCACGAGGGGTGAGAGTGAAAGAGGCTGATGTTAAGAAAAAAAAAAATCCAAAAGCAGATCTGGATGCGTTTCTGTAAAGACTGCATGTGTGCAGGAGAAAATAATAATAATAATAATGTATATGTGGTGATCGGTGGAAAATCTGTTGGGCCTGATCCTAATCCACGCGTTAATCGTTTGGTACTATCCGGTCCTTTAAGATTCGTGTTTGCACGGAGATCCCTACCAATCTAATGTTTGACAATGCGTTAAATCTGGGGGTCCATTATTGTCCCAAAGAGCCCCCCCTCCATCCCCTCTCACCCTCCCCCTCCAGACCACCCCGTGTACCACCCATTGTCGATTGTATCTGTAATATTTTCGTGATATTTTCGGCTAATTCCTGTTATTTATTTCTGTATCATCAATTGTTTATTTGTATTTGTTTAAATATTTTTTTAATGATCTTAGAGAACACCGGGAATGTTTATAAATAAATTATAGTTTCAGCCGTTTTTTTAATATTTATTTCTGATGTTTTCAATTTTTTTCAGAAGAGGGATATATTTATATTTATTAAATATAGGAACAAATTGTAATAATGATGATTGTGATGAATATTTTATTTTTTTTTTAGGTGTCGTGAGTGGGTAATTATTGGATTAGAATTGGGATGGCAATTATTTTAATTTTATTGACGCTGGGGCTGATATTTTTATTCGGTATATCCGTGATAAAATGGTGGACGTCAGGGCAATGTGTGGGATTCGGGATTATCCTCCATGCGGGATTACCGTGTATATTTTGGATGGACGAGGGGATGATTTTCATCCCAACACCGCGAATTTCCACCAGATGAATTATTTTCACAAGGATATACAATCGTCACCGCCCAAAATTTATCCACAACGAATCATTAATTAGCGATTAAAAATATTATCCATTAATTAACATTTGAACAAAATAAAAAATATACTCAATAAAAATGTGAATAAATATTTTCCCATTTTTACAAAATATAAAAATTTTTGAGTCCCCCGTAGCTGTTTTGAATTATCGATATTTCCAAGAATGTGAAAAAATCCGGAAAAACATGAAATCCCTCTCACCGTGAAAAAAAAAAAATATATTTGTTGAGGAGAATAAAAATGGGCGTCCCGGGGTGAGTGAAATTTAGAAGCAAGAATGGGGCAAAATAAAACGCTGGATTATTCTCCCAGGATCAATTTCCATTGGCTTTATGAATTCACCAATATTTCGCCTTTTTTCTCGTCTCGTTGAGACTTAAAACTTGGCCAAGGCAAAAAGGCGCGCCCAGTCAAGTGTAACCGCTCCACTAATAAGTCCTCTTCGCTACTTTTTTTTTTTCTCTTTTCTCTTCCTTTATTCCTCATTCACTGGGGGGTTGAAAGTCTTCAATTTACCCCCGGGGAATAATCGACAGGTTCTCTGCACTTATAAATGTTGGCCTTTACAGGTATCCCGCTGTTACCGCCGGTCCATCCACTTAGCACGCTCCTTAGACGTGAAAACATCTGTATTGTCACTGTATTAGCGCCGTGAAAATTTTCAAGAAGAAAAAAATATATTAAAATAAATAAACAGGGGAAAGATAACCCCCGTGAAAATTTTTTCAAATCAAAATACCGAAATTCTTGATGAAACCTTTCATCTCTCACCGCCTCTAAACAGATATAAACATAATAATGTTTAATGAGGTACATTAAACATCATAAAAGTCCCTGAAAAGAAATCCGAATATTTTTATTCAGGGATACGTGGATTATCGTCTCCGTCAATATTTGCCCTTCTCTCTTTTTTTTTCCTCAATTCTTATTTCCGACGCGCAACAATAATTCCATTCCTCCATGGATAAAACGCGTATTAATTCCCCAAATCAATCACTCAATCGTAATTAATATACAATTAATGTATGAATATGCGCAGGAGATGTACCAGGAAAGAAAATTCCCCCAATATTTTTGGGTTAATTTAAAAAAAAAAATGACAGGGCGATGTGCAGTAGTCATCCCGTTTCAATTTACTCCAGCGTACGTTAATTACTTTAATTATTACATCGCTGTCAAAGGCTGATCGGAAATGCACTGTTCCACCTGTACAGACGTGAAATAGTCCATCGAGGGGTTGGAGGGTGGGTGGGTGGTTGGGTGGTTATGACCGAGGCGCGATAGACCGTTTCGCCAATTAATTTTCCATAATTGGACGAGGCAACATGTGTCTGTCGTACATTTTGTTTCCCCATACGATTGCTCCACACAACTCACATCAATTTCCATCTCTCTCAATATTCACTGTACGTTTCACTCGGATTGAGGAGAAAGGGGTGAGTCTATCACCGGAAAACCTCGACGTGCAAACTCATTAGTCGCTGATGGTGGCCGCTCTTGCGTATTTTCAAATCGTTTGGGAAACCAATTAACTGTGTTTTTTTTTTCTCTGCTATCTATTCCATTTGTTTTTCCATGGCACTACCACCAAGCTATGCAACTCGAATAGACAGAATCAATAATTACAAGAATAGAAATTAAATGTAATCAATGACCATCAATTATCTGAGTGAAATAAAAAAAAATGATGGTGGTAATAGCGTCATCATCTGATAGTGGAACGAATTATCCTTGGATATTGTTGAGGTTTAATCCCCATGCGACATGGAAACCTCATCGTGCGAGCCAGTAGTGTAAACATTGACAGGGAAATATGTACCCCCAACTGCATTCACCACCAAACCTCTTGTTTTTTCAATGGGTTATACAGTAGTATCACTCGTACGGCCCTCCATGGCCCCATTATCCCCAGATTTACTCCAAAAACACTTGAAATCTACCATCAATTAAGGAACAATCCAACGGAGATCATCACGAGCCACAATCTCCCTTCAAAAAATCATATCTCCAGATTCATGAGACTCGAATAATTTCCCCGATTATTATATTACCCGAAATGTCAACACAAAAGCTAAACTTTCCACTCTCAATCCATCTCGTGTATGTACAGAGGGTTGAGATCCCTGGTAGAATGGAAGAATGCTAGTCGGCTCTCTCCGATGTTGTTTAGTCTGAAAATACGTCATTGTTTCAGAACGATAAAAAATTCAGCGCTCGGGTAATTACACTCTGGAAGAGAGAGGAGGAGATAGAGATCGATTGGACCCAGGCCCCGAGGCGAAATTTTCCACTGGGTTACTGACTTAGGGCCAGTCCTCTCAAATCCATTGGTATCATCGAATTAAATACGTCACCTTATCAGTAAATCTCATCAACTGGTACTTATATTTTATATATTTAATGCGACAACCTGAATTTAAGCATATTACTCAATGGGGTAAGAATACAGCACACATCCAGAACTATCCCACATACCCCTACCTCCCAGTAATCCCGTATAAACATTCCTCAAAGCCCAAAAGACGAAAACACTTTAAAGAAATATAAAAAAAGCCCCGGGAATAATAAAGAAATCGCTCGTGCGTGGCAATTGAAAATCTTGGTTCTCTTTCCAAAACCATTTCCGTCTCGTGGTTTCATGATGGCTGTGTGTGTAGCCCTCAAAGGCAAATAATCCTTCGTGGTATTGAGACGAGGGCATAATATACTGGAGGATAAAAAAAAAATACACGGAAGCAAGCCACAGATCTGGCGAGTGAGACAAATTCTCTTCATCTATCCTCTACTCCATTCTGAAAAAGGTAAAGGCGAGTGCTGTTTGCCTTTTATTAAACTGTTGTTAAACGCTGCCTTTCTTCATACACAATTGAATCGGCAAAACGCCGGAGATAATGCCACTGGGATTCTCAGTTCTCTCATCTCTCCCGTACTCTCGAGAAAATCTTAGTCCCCATTGTGGAATGGGGATGTCTCCCTCCAGCCAGTTATTCCCAGCCTGAAATGGACACCGTGTAATCGCTCTTTTATACGGTGTTGGTTTTACCTGTGGAAATGTGAAAAAAAAAAGAAGGCATTGCCCTCTCGTGACTGCTTCCAGGGGCCCAGGAACACCCCCCGATGAGAAGGGAATTGCCAGTTGCATTGAATATTCTGTGTATTTTTGGAGAAATGTTTAGGGGGTGTGTTGTATTCAGTAATTCTTATGCTCAATGAAAATATTTGGATGGTTAGCGAATGAGAGGTACGCCCCGTGCTTTCAATGCTGAAATTCATACGGATTTTCGTTCAGATATTTTCAATGCATCTGACATTTGGGGATGTGAAAATAGGAATGAGTTATTCACCAAATAAATTCGTATTTTCCGGTATATTTACACCGATAAAGGGCGCGTACAAAATGTATATTTCAATTTTACATTCAAGCAATAACATGCTTTTCATTTATTTGTACATTTTCGGAGTATTACATGATTATTTTTCTCCTATTCATTTGGTTACGGTTTTATTTCAACGCAATCCTTCGTGATCAATTGTTTAATGATCGTTAACAATGTTGAACTAATAAATATGATTATTTGTTTTATTGTTGGGTTTATCGAGAAAGTAAGGATTGACTTTTGTGGGGATATGGATTTTTAATGCGTACTGAATACTAGGAGTTCCGCAGTGATATGGAACAAATTATCTGGTGAATATTATATTTCATCCACCCATTCGCTCTCTTCATACAAAAATACTCTTTCCATTGTATAAGTACATTGATGCACGTATTACAACGGTATCAACATGAATTTATAATCGATTTTCATCATCTCAATGATAACATTACATTTTCTTAATGACTAACTGCTTGACGTGACTCGTGACCGTTCTATGAAAAGGTACATGATTTTTAAAAAAACACTTGACTCGGTTGAAAAATATATCGTATAAAATCTGTTTAATATTTCGTATCAAATATCTGTTTTATTCACCCACTTTGAATCCCATATGTTCTCCACTGCGGTGAGATTTATAATTAATCCACTATCTAATAACGAGATTACTTTCATTTAGAAAAAAGACAACATTTTCCAGACTTGTTAATCAGAAGCACCTAATCCTACATTCTCATCACTTTGAGCGATACGGATTCTACATCTACACCTAAATACTATAACTGAGTGGATTCGCCATCGACCGCAGTCGTTAACCGAAGAAAAAAGAAACGAAAACTCTAAAAAAAAAATGTATAAACTCGCGTCACACGGACTGTTCACAATAAATTCGAAAAATCATTTCAATCCCAATAAGACCCGCTCTTAGGGGAACAGAAAAGAAATGATTGTATAATAAGATTGTATCAACAGCAGTCTCTTGAAATCCGCTCACACCTAAACACTAAACATTAATGAATATCTCGATAGATCTATTGGGGCCTCACGTCAATTAGGAAGCGAGTGATTGTGGCTCGGTGAATGACATTTCCATTGTGATACCACCACTGCTACGTCTGTACCTGTTTGGTATATCGTTGTTGTTGTTTCTGGGTTTGCGTCTGCTGAGATGTCGCTCAACCCACTTCAACATCGTCAGAACAGAATCAGTACTTGGAAGTCTTCTCTCCGCTGATGTGCGTATAATATGAGAGGAAGTAACACGAAAAGTGGCAGCCATTCCCTTCAATGCCTGATTATAAAACAACATATATTAATTAAATTCTTACCTCGCAGTTTCGATTGGTTAAAAGAAATGAATGATCATTCACCTTCATAGCATCCTCATCAGTGACATCATCCCCAGCATATATAATTCTGATTCTCTCGCTCCAGTCCAATCCAAAGGCAGTTCGTAATATGTAAATCGATGCACGCCCCTTGTTCCACTCGACTGGTGGTTTAGCTTCAAGGGCGCAGTGTGCAGGACACGGTTTGAAGCCAGCCTCTTCAATCAGTCTCTTCGCATGCTCGATCATTCTGGGTCTACCCTCCATAGGAGTCTCACGATAATGAAAAGTAAGTAGTGCACCCTTATTCTCTACCCAAGCGCCATCCTTGCACAGCTGAAACAACCACCAATTAGAATCATTCCCGCAGAAAATACTGTACACATACTAAAATCAGTCAGTCAATCTTACTACCTGGTCCTGAAGGGCTTGCATCAGACTAGCAACTTTGCCCTCTAGCTCTGCTGGCATTGGATGAACAAATTTACTCCCATCAGGATGAAGAATCTCTAGGCCATGATTGCCAGCATACGTTATTCCCTCGATACCCACCATACTCTTCACATTACTCACATTTCTCCCTGATACAATGGCAATGTAAACGTCTGACATGTTGCTCAACCTCTGGAGTACATTTCTCGTCTCCAGCGGTAGTATAGCTAGATCGGGATGTGTTGCTATTGGAGCTAGTGTACCATCGTAATCGAGGAGCAATGCCAATTTGTGATTATCACCGATGTACCTGGGGGACATGTATCGTCAATTGACCGTTACTCGGCTTTCGTCCATGATTCGGGTTATCGACTGGTCCGTGGGTGAGAGCAATCGTTCAACAATTCATGATTACTTGAATCTTTGTATCACATTCTCATTAATAAGCTCAAATCATCAATTTTTTTGTCCATTCATTATGTATCCACCCATTAATTATAAGCGACATTATTATCGCTCCCTCCCCACGTCATTGTCGTACCCGAGTCATGCTGACATGATTGTGCAACAACATATTTGTTTGTAGACGAGATCAAAAGAAAGAGAGATAATTGTTATCAGGGTGGTGGAAGAGGGGAAATAAATATTTTTTTTCATGCGTGTGTTTTGTACCCAAGATCTAGCCAAAATTTATGAGGCTACAATGCATTTGATATTTACTTGCTCAAGTAATCGTCAAAGTCGTCCATCGTCACTGGTTGCATCACCGTTGCACCGACGGAGTCTCGCTCCTCCAGAGAGCCCATCACCTGGAGGAAGGACTTCATCCAGTAGTTGACGTCGTAAAGGCGCTCTCTGCGTCTCAAGTGGTTCATTCGGAGGGTGCGCTCGTCCTCGGGCATGGTGAGAGCTCTGAAAATACAACTCATTGATTGGTTTTGCAACAAGTGATTCAGCTTCTGGTCAAATAAATAAACCGCAAGTTCGTTCACCTGTGGATGACCTCAGCTGCATCATCGATCTCGTAAGGATTACAGATTAGGGCCTCGTGCATCATTTCACCAGCACCGGCAAACGGCGAGACGATTAAAACACCAGGAGGATCATTGATTTGACAAGCGACGAACTCCTTAGCGACGAGATTCATGCCATCCCTCAATGGTGTCACCAGAGCGACTGCAGCATCTCTGTAGAACGCAGCGAGTTCATCCTGACTGACGCAACCGTAAATATACCTGATGGGAGACCAATTCGGTGTGGTAAATCTACCGTTGATGGAGCCAATCAGCTGATCCATCTCCAGCTTCAACTCCTGGTACTCCCTGACATCGGTTCTCGAGGGGACAGCCACCTGGAGCATGGTGACTTGCTCTCGGTGCTCAGGGTGCTTCTCCAGGAGCATCTCGAAGGCCTTGAGCCGATGAACCAAACCCTTGGTGTAATCCAACCGATCCACCCCCAGGACAATCTTCTGATTGGTCATGAGGACTTTGGGGGCTTGTTCTGCGAGAGATACAAATCTGTCGAAGGGTATGCCAATGGGCAGGGGTCGAACCCTCACTGTCCTACCACCGTGATCCACCAGGAGATTCTTCCTGTCGACACGACAACCAAGACACCTCTGACAGCAATCAACGAAATTCAGGCAATAATCCTGAATGTGAAAGCCCACCATATCGCAGCCGAGCATCCCCTGGAGGATCTCGTCCGCCCATGGGAACAGTCGGAAGATGTCCCAGGGTGGAAATGGGATGTGGAGGAAAAAGCCGAGCTTCAGGTTAAGATCCTTCTCGTCAGCTGCTTGTCGAATCCAATTGGCTGCGAGCATCAAGTGATAATCGTGAATCCATACTAATGGCGTACCATTTGTCTGCTTCGTCTGCTCCTCGCTGACCTTCTCCAGGGCGCGCACTGTTTTCGCCGCGAATTCTTTGTTAACGGCGACGTACGCACGCCAGTGCTCGGCGATGAAGGTCGCACGATCTGGCATCGAGTGAAATAGCGGCCAGAAGGTGCCATTGCAACAGCCGTTGTAATACGCGTCGAATATGTCGGGCTCAACATGAACTGCCACCACCTGTAGGTTATGTTGCGTTAAGGATAAAATTGTGGGAATCCCCGGATTTGTGGAGATGTAAATGGTATTGTTTTCGCGGGAGATTTATCTTAGTGTCAATTACTGGTGTTAATAATAGGCTGATTTATGCAGTCCCATGCCGATGATGACCCCCCATGTCTTCACGCAACGTCGACTTCAGTATTATTTATTAATAATCAGCTGTTATCGGGGGCGATTATTTAATGACAGTCTCAACGCGGTTATTGGCTGCTAGTGACGATTCGCGGGCTCGACCACTCGAGTCTCTCTCTTACGTCCCGACTTTTCTCGTTATTCATTATGTGTCCTCATAAATATGTCACTGATTGGATGAATCAGGTCGCCATAATAAGATAAATAATGGAATATGGGTACAATTGAATAAATAAATATCAAGAAGCAGAAATGCTTCATGAAATTCTTTGTGAGGGAAAGGAAATTATTACCGCAAGGGAAAAATATCGCAAATTATTATTTTACAACAATTAAACATCGAAGCTCGAATATTTTAACAATAAATTGTACCCACTGTGTACTCTTCTCATTAAATCTGAAACAATTTATTTAATTACTCCGTTTTATGGATTTATTTCTCGGAGAAATGCGTCTCGCATCCCATGGCTATCACTGGGCCCGTTGATAAATAATCTTGACCCAAATAAATAATCAAGCGTTTGGCTTTCTCGGGAATTATCGGAGTAGTTTAAAATTTCTCTACCCTTTGATTTATCAATCCCCCTGAACTACCCGAGTCCTTTCAATGCACTCGGAACAGGATTATGATTTCAATTAAAACAATTTACAGATATGCAGATAGTGCAATCAAACGATAACCCAGAACCTCTCCACTGATTAATTCAACACATGGTCTCCTGTCAGGTCAACAAAAAACGTTTGACTGCAAATTGATATCGAATGACATCGAACGTGAGAATTGACGAAGGTCAGAGCTGTGAACTATTTGTTGTCAATATTGTTGAGTCTGTGGTGTTATCTAACCGATGGATTGTGACGGGATTTTTTTTTCTCTCTCTCTCAGAGATGTGAATCATCGGGAGAGATTTACATTAGAGAAGACGGAATCGTCTAACAGCGTTAATCAGTCTTGATTGTATTAATACTAATTATCATCAGGAATATATAATTTTTAAAAGTAAAATGACGTTCATTACAGCAATCCGAAAAATATATGATATATCCTATAATTATTTTTATTAATATTACATCGTATTAATATTAAATTTATAATTTACAGTATATCATATAGGTGTTGATATATAGTTGGGAGGAAAAATAAAAATAGATGAAAAATTTACCTTGCTCGACAGCAATCCAGCGGTTGGTGTCTTGTCATTAGGATCCGACTCTGGAATAGGCTCATTAGGATTCTCCATGTGAACACCCGGCCATCCAACCCACAGGCCATTTCCACTTATCACAACCGGTGCAACAGCAGTCACAAGTCCTCCAGCACTAAATATATCCCAGAAAAAAATCATTCATCCTCTCAATCACATCTCAATCACCATTGATTAGAAGAATATAATCATGCTAAATTATCGGTTAGACTTTGATCGCTTTTCACTAAAAAATCCACTCATCAATTTTCCCTCCAATTGCCTCCAGAAATTGATAAGCAGAACCTACGTTAACACGTAAACAGACACGATTGTTGGCAAACATGTCTCTTTTATCCGTTCAGTCTTCTCACTTCATGAAAAAACAAATATTGGGAATATAAAAATTATCTACCCGATTGCCAGTCACGTGGGACTCATTTTATTCTGCATATTGAATTTTTATTTCTCGTTTGTTTACACGAACCTCGGGGAGAGATCTTTCGTTAATAGGATCAACATTTAGTACTCTGATAACCGTTTGCCCCTTGATCAACATGTTTTTCTCTATTTCTCATAACATTGCCGATTGATTATTTAAATTTTTTAATTCTTCATGCCATTTTTGCGCTTTTTCCTGTCGATGTGCGAGACTATTTTTCATATGACGAGATTTCCTTTTAAAATAAAAAAAGTTAACAACTTTTAATCCGCGTATTCATCAATATTGATATATTTAATAAATTCTGCTCACCTTGCTTTACGCTCCAATAACCCAGAGTCCTCATTCCTCTTCAAAACGAATGGTAACCTGTTGCTCACGACAATCATACTTCCGTTGGAGGTGTACGTCCGTGTCTCTGTAGACATTTTGCCCCAAATCAATGATTATGATTGGCAATTAAAAATCTTCTCATCCACAAATCAACAAATTTTATTAAATAAACAAATGCACTGATTCCGGTGAGTGACTCAGCTAGAGACCCATGACCACTGACTCTTCAGACTCATCAGCATCACAACCAGAATGATAATCTATAGGGGATGATTTAAGCTGTGATTATTGTTATGTGTGACAAAGGATGTCTGAGAGCCAGAGTAGGACTGAAGTTGAAACGTCTCAGTGCCTTATGTTTATTCGTTTCAACTCGTACCAACGATTTGGTCCAAAGTGCGCTTTTTGCGGGGACTCGGTATCGAAAAGACCGGAGGCCACGACCCCATATACCCATCCATCGTTAATTTCCCCTTACCTCTCCACCCTCTCCTCCACCACCTCCTCCTCCCCCCTTTGCCCCCACCATCGTGTACGCCACTATCCTCTATTTACCCTCATAATGACACCCCCGCATTCCCTTACGATTCGACCCCGCCAGGGGTTATCGGTATCACTTCAATTTCACGAGGGTATTATGAAGAATTAATAAATAGGAAAAAAAAAAATTATTTCGATACTTTGACGACATTTTAATTCCGTGGCACATACGACCTTTTTGAATTCGTTGTACGATTTATCGGAGTGGTTTATCGATTTTAATTTTCTTTTTTTTTTACTGTTTTGGGATTTATCGGAATTTTTTTTTTAATTCGACGAACAATTGATTGGAGTAATTACGGGAGTTCCTTGTTGAATTATTTTTTTTATTCGGTGTATAGAAAATATTTCGATATTCCCCGGAATTTCCAAAACAAATCGATTAATTTTGGAGATAATTTTGAGATAAGAACGAATTGTTCAATTATTATTGCATTAATAATGTCAGTTGATCATTATTAAATAATAATTGAATAATTTTTTCTATCAGATACTGCATGAAAGACTGAAATTCCTCTTCGAGGTAGTGATAAATGTTTGAGTGATTTCGGATTTTTCCGTGGCCTTTGAGCACCCACAGCTGATAAATTAAATAGAAAATGTAGTTTTCTGTACGATGCACCCGAAAATTCTGGTTTTATCATGTATAAACCAGTGATGGTACGTAATCGTGGAAATACCACGTAGACACAGCATCAAAATGTCTTATCATTCCCAGAACTTGATCGTACATCGACGACATTTTCGTCGATAGTTTTTAAAAATTCGAGGCCATCTCGTATTGACTTTTGCATTAAAAGATAAATTATCCGTCCTTGAGATGCAACAGCAATGTTTTGGCACGATATCAGCACATGCTCGCATCATGTTTCATTTCCTCGACTATTACTCACCGATTCACGGAGATTAAATCGCGATAGCAATTACGAGGGGCTATTCGTTAATTTATTACTTTACAGATGCAATTAACCTGCGTATCAATAAAAAAAAACCGGTTCCTTCAGGCCGTTAACGGCTTTGGTTGTTAAAAGTTTTTTGCTTTTCCTTAAAAAAAAGAAAAACATCATTTATTCAATTAATTTCGTCTATTTTTAATCTAAAATTACGATAATTATTAATATAATTAATTATTCACGGTGATTATTCATTTATTGATGTCTCTGTTATTTTTTTCTTCGTAGAAATGAAAAATATTTTTTTGTGTTTATTATCCCAATAGATACGGCGTGACATAATCTTGATTACCCCAAGCCCTGAAATTACGACTAACGGAATGATTGTGTCACTCATGGATCTACGATCACTCTCCCGCCATGTGATGATAATGATTTCAATATTGTATATCAAATAGTCAAGAGATTTCCATGGAAAAGAAAAATTTCCTCAGACGTCAGTGATGGGAGGAAAATTAATGATTAAATTGTGACCTCATTTCCACGATTGCACGTGTCAAACTTGACACTTCATACCCGTCACGTGGGTCTTCATCTATTTTTTACCCCATGATTTTTTTAGGGCGCATTTTATCTCAAATGCGCAATACAACGAAATAATTAAAACGAACACTTGATCCGTCAATTTCTCAATATTTATAGCCAAGCTGTCTCATCGGATTGATAAGTTTCCTCATTCCTATCAATTCACCTCCGGGCAAATCCCCAGATATTATCCCCGGATTACTCCACAACAAAGAGATTAAAAGATATTCTGAGAAAAATTTTTCCCTTTACGAGCTGCTAATGCCTGACTAATTACTCCATTCCATCAATCGCTGAATATCTCTGAATCTACAGGATCTACCAAAATTTTTATAGAAACCTAATTTGAAGAGAGAATCAAGGCCATCAAAAAAGGTCTTTACAAAAATTTCGATATATCCCCCGAATTCCGTGATATTTCACAAAAATACTCACCACCAGAATCATCTCTTACCCTTCACTCTGAGCTGTCAATTATCACTCAATTTTCCGTTCGCGTCGATGCCATATTCTCTCGACATTTCAACCGTATTGAATAAAAAAAATAATGAGTCATCGCTGGAATAAACTGTTGTTCCTATTTTAAGATGAGGGATTTTATTGATTTGTGGATTTCAGGGTGAGGCTGTCGAGGCGTTGTCATGCTAGGACACAGGGCGAACAGAAGGATGACATCGATAGCATTAAAATGATAATTAAAATTCCGAAAGTACAGAATATATTCGATATATTCGATATATTCGATATATTCGATATACTCCTGAGATATATTAGTGCATCCTAGACACTGTCTGGGGATTATTTACGTCAAAAGATAAATTCCTTGCCTGTTATGCAATCGGAATTGAAATTTTCCGGTTTATGTGTCTGCAGTGTGAAACTTCGAGAATGTGATGATCACGTGGCTATCACGATGGCTTTTTTTTTTCACTTGAATCTTCTCGCGACGACGGGGTAATACTGAGGACGTAATACTGTTTGAGATTGCCGGTGTCTGGGTGTAATCCTTTGAGGAAGGCTCCGGGTTTTTCGATTGTGAAAATACATCGCGAATGTGAGGACTCAGGTAGCGCCCCCTTGGACACCAGATCATTGCGATTGCGCAATGAGAAATGAAAGGAAAATTATTCTAGGGAAAATTTCAATTGTCTTTGACATTTCCTTTATAATTGTTTAACTCCCGTTGTCTCCAGGTGTTGGAAATTTCGGTATTTAATTGATGGGACTCCACGATTTTTATTTTTTTAATTTCTTCGGCTTTTTTTTGGATTTTTCAAGGAATGCGTAATTAGGGGTTGAATGATTTGAGTGAAATTGAAATATCAATGGAATTTATTGGGAATTAGAGTTACAGACATGCGGCCATGAGACCGGCGACGTTTTCGAAATCAATTTTCTCGGTTATATTTTTTGTCTTGATGTTCTCGTCTTGATTTGCGATGAAAATCACGCTCTTGCTTTGCTCCTGCCACCCGTATTTCTTCACCCAGTGTTTCAGCGTTGAGTCTGAAAAGTGATTGAGTGAAAAATAAAATTTTTAATCATCTCTATTTTTGTTTATATTATTTTAAAAATGGAAATTTTGTGGAAGGGACTATTGAACATTTTTAGACAAGAGTTTGAGGATTTACCATCGACACTCCCGAGCAATTGCGCAAGCAGACTCTTATCAATTGTCTGAAAGGTAATGCCTACGACGTGACACACAAATTTTCGGATTGAGTCCTGAAAACCCACGATTTTATCGCACAACTCCGACATCGATATCATTCTGTCCCAGAATTGCTGGAAGTCGCACTGCTCCAGGATATCGCCCAGATAAATAATCTGACTAATGGGATCTTGCTGCATCTAAAATCATTTTATAATAATAATTTGTTACAATAAATATATAAATAATGCGAAATAATTCCCAACGGAACGATAATTATATTTAAAACCGGTCAATTATCTCGGATTCCACGAATTTCACAGAATTTTTCGTAAAAACTTTTTTCTAGAGCTAATCAAAGCCTGCAAAAAAGCTCATTATAAAAATTCCGCTATTTCCATTAGATCCGGATATATTTGGATGTGAAACTCATAATTGGAAATATAATCGTTTCGCGGTGAATTTTGGAATGAAGTTTTGACGTTTCACTCACGATTTTCTCACTGAGGAGGCACTTGCAGAGGACGAAATCCGTGTGAGGGAGATTCGTAAGGGCCTTGAGAAGGATTTGACAGGTGACGTGAATGTCAAATCGCTGAGGATTCAGCTGGTACAGCTTGAGAAGTGCCAAATTCGCCTCCAGGTCGTAGGCATTCTCCCTGGCCTGCAGCTCCACGTATTTCTCGAGGGTCATTAAATTCTCAGGATTGTACCTATTGATGTCCTCGATATTAATATCATTGAAACATAATCTGAGGCTTCTTTCGATCGATTTACTCACCTTTCGATACTCCTCAGCATCACTGCAATATTCTGCCTCATAGTCTCCGCCATTTCGTTAGTTATCGCTTTTTAATTACTTGATTGCTCTAAATATTAAATATTTTAGTTATTAAACATGGAAAACCCTTCAGATTATTGAAAGGTTATGTGGACCTGAAGCGTGCATTAATCCCTGAAGTTGGTTTCGAATTATTTCAGGGGAACCACCAGATTTTCTAGGGATTTTTTCACAACCTGACTCGTTTAAAAAAGTAAAAAAATCAATTATTATTAACAATTTGTAGAAAGTTCTAATTGAGGAAAGTGAAATTTTTCGTTTTTAACATTGATGGGAAAATGATTTATTTGGGGTCCTAGCTTCATCGTGTCCTCTTGCCCCTGGGGGCACCCCGAAGAAGATTGACTAAAGTGGAGGCTCAGTTCTGGGGGTTTAAGTCACCCCAGCGGCATGGCAGTACTGCAGAGGGACGGCGCCACACGCAATGCTGAGCTGTTCATTGGGGAAGTCACATCTTGTGGAATTTCAAAGAAAAAAAATTAAAATTCATTGAAGATATACCACTAATGAAATTATTATTTTAAATGAGCGCG